AACCGGAGGAGAAGGAGCGTAAGTAAGCGATCGTCAGAGATTCGCAGCCTTCGAGATTACAGAGGGGGCAATAATCCGGTCTTTATCCGCGAGCAATGAAACCCGCCCTTTATCCCTCTGTGCCCACAGCTGTGCCGAGGCAGGTTTTTGTGACGGAATCTGACGCCTCCAGGTTTTTCAAGAGACGTACCGTTCGATCAGTTAGGTCCCGCAACGAATACAACGGTGAGTCTTAAACAGCGAACGCCAGCAACCGACTCAAAGCCTCTTCTTTGTGCTCCCAACACCTCCCTCCCTCCCTCCCTCCACCGCCCCCCCCACCCACCACCCCCCCACCACCATCCCCGCGGAATTCAACCAGACCATTGATACTACTGATTAATAATAATAATATTAATAATAATAATAATAATAATCCTTGCATTCGATGTACTTCTCGGCGTTCGGCGGAAATTCTCTGCGAGAGAGAGAGAGAGAGAGATACACACAACACACACACACAACACACAACACACACAACACGCGCACACGCCACGCACACACGCGCAAAATAAAATAAAGGTCTTTAATTTATCCCGTCCGCAATAAATCTGGTTGAATTCCACAGGGAGACGCCAGAGCATTTGCTTTTCGATGTCAGCTCACGTTTTTTCCAGAGAGAGAGAGAGAAGGAGAGAGAGGGGGAGAGAGGGAGGGAGGGAGGTGGGGGGGGGAGGGAGGTGGGGGGGGGGGGGAGAAGGAGAGAGAAGCGCTTCTCTGTGTCTGTGCGATGTTGGTTTGGATGCGGTGGGAGGCACAGGATAGAATGGTAATACTTTAAAGAGTCTCCAACGCGGTGCCTGAGGGCAGCCACACCTGATGGTCAACTTCACCTCCTTCTCCCCCCGTCTCATCCCCACTCTCCCTCTTCCTCCCCACCCCCTCCTCCCGATCTCCCCTTCCCCCACTGTCCCCCTCTCCCCCACTTTGCCCCTCCACCTCTCCCCCCACGTTCCCCCTCCCCCACACCTTACTCTTCCCCGTAAAACCCCACCTTCCCCCTCCCCTACCCCCATTTTCTCCTCCCTCTCACTTTCCCCTTCCCTCCCCACACTTTCCCCCTAACCCCCACTTTCCCCCTCCCCTTACTCCCTCCTTTCCCCTCCTCACCCCCACTTTCCCCCTCCTCCTCTTGCCCACTTTCCCCTCCCGCTCTTCCCCCACTTTCCACCATCGATTCCCTTTGCTTGTGCTGTAGAAAGAGAGACAAATCCCCCCCTTCCCCCCCACCCCCCACACGATCCCAGTTCAGATCCCTATGGAGTGCCCAATCTGACTTAAACCAAACACTCACATCCCAAGGAAATGAGCGAGTGTCATCACACAGCCACGATTTGCCCACAAAATACACAGTCACTACACTTTACAGTATACTCTGCGAAGCGCTTTGAGACGTCTCGATGACGCTGCATCAAATGCAAGGATTTATTATTACTTTTAAACATATATTACCGTAATGATTAATAGAATAGAGTTGTGTATAAATAGCAATGTCTAATCATCGATAAATATATCACATTATTAATAACAAGTGATCGTATATTAATAATCATAATCCGTGTATTTCATACAGTGCTTTCTTTATCTGTCGTCGAAACATCGCAAAGCGCTTCACAAAACATAATGTAAAGTGGAGTGACTGCGTATTTTGTGGGAGAAACACGGCAGCCGATTGCACACAGCGGCGACCCCCAAACAGTCATGGATTGAGTGACCAATTTTATTATATTGATATATAATATATTATACTAATTATATTGTTAATGATAATAATAATGTACTGTATCACATAAAAAGATGTTAGAATATTATTAATAGCATAATAATATAATATTAGCCATCGAACCCTTCCCCATTATATCATACATAGTATAATAAGATTAGAAGCTAAATTAACATTTAAATTATTATTATTGATAACCACATTAGCGTTCAAAAGGGAACGAGATAGATATCTAAAATGGAGTAAACTACGGAGTAAATGTATATGTTGGGGGTGGGGAGGGGGGTGGGGGGGGGGGGAAGGGGCAGGTAAATGAAACTGAGATGAATGATGTTTGGAGGAGTCATCACGGACACGATGGGCCGAATGGCCTTATTCTGCGCTGTGTGATTCTATGATTAACACAATTTGCAATGTGCAATGAAAGCTTAAAAGCTTAAAAGCCACCGGCCAAGAATTTTGACTCGGAGCCAAAGCTCACAGTACAGTATATCCAAATAGCTGGGCCTTTTGATTTTTTTTTCTCCCTGGAAAACCTATAGGTTTTGCAAACGACAACTTAAACAGTCTCTCCATTGTCGACCAGAACCTCATTGGTAGCCAAACTGAGCAACAGAACCAGGTAGTGTGCGGACATCTGCATCGGTGCCAGGTTCATGGACACCCATTTCAGTATCACAGCCGCGGAGAGGAGAGATATGTAGCGCGAGAGGTCATTCGGCCCAACTAGTCCATGCTGGTGTTTTTACGGAGTCCTGTAGCTCAGTGGTTAGAGCTCCGGTAGACAATCCCACGTGAAAAAAAAATGTGGTCACTCAATCCACGGCTGTTTGCCGGAGGGACGTCACTGCGCGCAATCGGCTGCCGCGTTTCGCCCACAAAATACGCAGTCGCTCCGCTTTATAGTATAATCCCGTGAAGCGCTTTGAGACGTCTCAACAACGTGATCAGGCGCTGTGTCGGATGCGAGGATCGCTATTGTTATGCAAACGGCTGTTTTTTCAACCAAAACAAACGTGTTTTTTTTTAAGGTTATGAGTTTCGAGTTCGTACGTCAGAGGACGGTTAATAACTCTGAGTAACAAATTTCCTGTTGGGAGCGGAGAGTATTTTTGGGTCATTGCATTTACATTTTTGGCTCCTAATCGAGGCAGATTTTCGTCGGCTCATGTGGTGGGATTTGTGTCGGTTGTTTTGTGTCGTAACTTTGGTGATTTTTCTTCCAAACTTTGCGTTGGTTTGGGATTGAGGCGGCTGATGTCTCAATTTGGGTCACGGGTGTTGACTGAGTAAATATGTCCGGTTGGTAATGTGTTTTCTCTCTCTGGTAAATGGAAATGGTTGCAAAGGTAAACAGTTGTGACTCCCACAAGCGATAGCCCACAAACGCACCAACACACCGCCTGCACAGACTGCGGTCTATGTTTGAGACTGCTTCCGACAGGCTCACGCCAGGCTTGCGGACGTCAACCGGGCTCAGTCGGTAGCTTACTCACCTCTGAGTCAGCGGGTTGTGTGTTCAAGCCCCCAGTTTGGGGCTCTCAAGTGACTGCGTAGCTTGTAGGTGGACGCAACAGCCACTCCTCGTCTCCCCTCTGTTTCTTTATGCAATTATCTTAACACGTTGTCCTCTGGTTACTGACCCACCCTCCAGACGAAGCGGTTTATCCCGAGAGAACTCGCCTCGCGAGCGAGAGGACTTGAGTTCGAGTCCCGGGCAGGGCCAAAGGTTAGGCAAGTCTCCTTAGCGTTTTCGTCCACAAAATATACAGTCACTCCACTTTACCGTATTATCTGTGAAGCCCTTTGAGATGTCTGGAAGAATGCAAGAATTATTACAAGGATTATTATTATTATTTACTCTATCAAAACCGCTCACCAATGTGAAATCTCCCCTCAACCTTCTCCGCTGTGTGTGTCTCTTTCCGCAGCTGAGAATAGGCAACGACTTACAGTCGACGAGAGAAGGAAGGAAAATCATGAAGAGCAGCTGCACGAATGGGAGAACTACGTGGAGGAGGAACGAGATGGTAAGTCTTCAGTGAATTAACCAGTATGTTTTTTTTATAATTAGCGTCTGACACACGTGGAAACCCATCACCGTTGGTTAAGAGTCTCCAAACAAAGCTGCGGATTCCGTACCTCCCGTCTACATGTGGAAACCCCAGAGATAAGTTGTTGGAATTGAATGCGCTCTCTCTCTCTCTCTCTCTCTCTCTCTTTCTCCCCTGGAGGGACGCACCCTGCTTTACCTAATTCCGGGAAGTATTAGGCGCAGGTTGGCAAGAGCCAAGGCTTGGGGGAGGGGAGGGGGGGGGGAGCCCAGAGTGTGCGTTGGGGGGTATCTGCTGGAGTCTAATCTTGCTAGAAACGTCTCAAACCTTAGTGGTCATTGCTCCGAGACACCACCACCACCAAATGACATTCAGATGCAGCACCTTTCACATCGGGAGGACGTCCCAAGGCGCTGGACAGTCAGGGATTTGCACCCGAGCTGGGGGTTGGGATCGAGAGGGGGTGGAAGGAGGAGAAGGGGTGGGTGGGGGCGATGGTGTGGGGTGGGGAAGGTGAGGATGAAGTGATAAGGTGCTATATGACAAGCGAGGGGTTGGGGGTTCACCCTAACAACCCTCTTTGTGCTAAAATATATAATACAAATTCCTGCTAACCCGTTCCCGATGTTTAATTGCCCTGTGTTCCCGCTGAGTACAGTCTGTGCCAAAAATGATCAGAGTGTCTGTTCTGCCACCTCTCAGCCGTGTTACACCAGGACCTTGGGTTCATCGAACAGCATCGACGGCCAAAACGGTTCCTTCCTGGGCTTTAATGAGCGGGGAAAGGATAAATCAGCCTCTGTAATAGTGGGCTTTGCCACTCCGAGCGGGAGCTGGAGGCACAAACACTCCTTTCTTTCAGGTGCTCCCAGTAATCACTGCGCAGGAGTGTGGTGCTGTGATGTACAGAGAGGGACTCTGACATACCAGCATCTCCTCTCCGCTCTAGACCCAGCTCCCCGCTCCAACCCGGGCGCCTTGCGGGGTCCGGTAGTGTAGTGTAGTGGTGAGCGCACTCGGCCCGGTAATGCTCCTTGCATTTGATGTGAAGGGTTTTATCGCCTCGTTGACACGTCTCAAAGCGCTTCACGGAATATCCTGTAAAGTGGATTGAGTGCGTGTGGGCGATGGTGTGTGTAGGGGGGGATTATTACCCCCGGAAAGCGATCCGACAATCGACTAACAACCGGGTCCCTACTTACCCCTGGTAAACAGAGGCGTGCGGGTGGAGTAAGGGAACTTGCCTAAGGTTTCGTCCCCCCCCCCCCCCCCAATTTATTCCACAGAGCAATACGAAAGGACTCGTGAGAAGACGGAGTCATGGCGCGAGTGGCACTACGATGGGCTCTATCCCTCTTACCAATACAACCGCCACGTCTACTAAACAACAAGGCCGGAATGGCCGTGAGCTGAGAGACCACCAGTTCCTGACCCGACCAAAGCAAATCAGGGCTCGAACGTACAGGGACTGATTCCATCTGAAACCTCTCATCTCATCTCTCTCTCACTCTCTCCTTTTTTTTTTGGGAAACAGCGAATATAAAAAGCCCGATGGGGGGGGGGGGGGGGGGGGGTGCGTCGAACCTTTCTATTAAAATGTCATAAAGATTTTTTTTTCGGTTTCTCGCACGCTTTTCTAGCGCTGGAGCTTTTCGATGAATGTAGGTCCCCCCTCCACCCACCGCCCACCGCCGCCGCAACCCCCTTCCCCCAAATATTGAACGAGCGGCTGTGATCACGCCTTCTAAAATAACGCGTACCCATTAGAATCGGGAGGGGCAGGAGGGTGTTGGCGTTGGTGGGGGGTGAGGATAGGGTAAGCCCTACAACCCCTTTCCCCCTTCCCCTATCTCCACAAACACCCCCCCCCCACCCCCCCCAGTCTCTACAGCAAGTAATCGACTGGGACGTCACGGAGAACGAAACATACCCAACACGTGATAACTATCACATCACGCACCTCATTTTCACTCCCCCCCCCCTATATATATATATATATATTATATGTTAAAAAAAAACACACGCACGCGAGACTATTTTGTTTTGTAAAGAGTCGCTTAGAAAGATCCTCGACGTCGAGAGAGAAAGAGGAAGGTATTTTTTTCTGCGTCGCTTACAATATCTTCTCTTGGGTGGGGGTGGGTGGGGGGGTGGGGGGGGGGGAGCGGGGTGGCGGTGGGGAAAGGCCGGTTAGTATTGAGCGAAGGTAAATCTTTTTTCACTCCTGGAAGATTGTAAAAGATTGTCCTGTAGGATTTTGCCGCCCGTTCCGTTGGAATCTTTATGCTGTGATAATAATAATTCCGTCTGCCGCGTTAGCCTAACTTCGCACCATTAAGCTGTGCTGCACATTATTGCATGTAGACTATAAACACTCGCACAGAAATAAATATGTTTAACCCCAAAAAGTGCCGTGTGGGTAATTTACTGAGCTTCTGCCCCTCTGGAAACTGTGACACCTTTTTTTGAACGATTATATTGATGTGTTAATAGTAATCCTTCCATCCGATAGAGCGACTTCTGTCTTCAAGACGTCTCAAAGCGCTTCACAGGATGGACCGTTATCTCTGGTTCCCTCAATCCCATTTGGCATCTGAGGACACCCGTACAAAGCCACATCCGAGACCCCTCTTTGTACTTTAATCGTTACGAGACTGAGATGTTTTAATGAAAAAAAAACCTTTAATAAAAAAAAATCACGTCTAAAGCGGTTGGGGTGGTGGTGTGGGGGGGGAAATATGTTGGTGTTGGGGGTAAACATTTGCTCAGATTAATCAGAAGGAACAAGCCACAGAAGGCGTCTGGGGAAACTTGCCATGTACACAAACCATGACCAGGGCAAACACAGCTAATGTGGGCTCGAAGTTGGGCAACGTTAATTATAACTTGGGCGGCTTTTGCTCAGTGACCGCGGGCTCTTTTGCCCTCACTTTCCTACAGTTTGTTTCCACCACCACCAACGTTACTGGCACTCTCTCTCCCAATATTTGTGTTGTCAAAATAATAATCCCGGCTTTTGAGATCCGTAGCTGCTCATCGCAGCAAAAAGTCTCAAAGCGCTTTACCCACTTGACTGTAAAGTGCAGTGACTGTGGATTTTGTGGGCGAAACACGGCAGCCGATTTGCGCAGAGCAGCGTCCCCCCGCAAACAGCCGTGGGTTGAAGTGACCAAATCATCATTAAAGGGATTATTACCCCCGGAAAAGCGATCCACCAATCGACTCACAAGTGGGTTCCTTTTTACTGCGACGTAGACAGAGGAGTGTGGAGGAAGGAGACGTGCCTAAGGTTCCTCGTAGTGTGGATTTACAAAGTAATGTTGGGTCTCTTTATTTAATGGTTGAGGGAGAGGGCGTTGGCTGAGAAGTTGGGTTTGAATCACACTAAAGTGGGCGAAAGGCGATTAAACGAGAACATTCACGTTGACTTTGCCGGCACAACATCCCGAACAAGCTTTTTTGGAGGCATAAGGTGGCCCTTGTCACTCGGTGGCCTAACGGGATATTTTTAGACACGGGTATATAACTAAAAACAACTTTAGTGTTAAGCAACCTGTTTTAATAACTCGCTGTAGCACCAGACCAGGAAATTAGCAACGAAAAATCCAGTATATTTATTTGAGGCATTTAAAAAAAAAACAATCCACACTAATTTGGTTTTTTTTTGTGTTGTGCGTTTGCATTTTATATAAAAATATTGTATTTCGCATGTGGATGTTGAGCAATTATAGGATGCGTCCTTGCCCCATCGTTCCCCCCGCCCCTTCCACCCACCCCGACCGCCTCGCCACGCCAGGGTCATGTAGACAGAGCGCTGTCTCGCGGGATGAAGTGTTGGCGCTCACCGCAGCACAGCGCAGCGCAGCTCGCCAGCCGTGCCATGGGCAGGGGATCTCACTTTGCACTGTTGATAAATTTGCCGTGTTCTTCTCCCCTCGGTAACAGCAGCTCTCCACCGATTTTCGGACCTTTCCTCTCCTAGATACACACACACACACACACACACAAACAAACATATGCAAACACACAGATACACACACAGACACACACAAACACACAGAGAGATACACACACATGCAGAGGGACAACAGATACACACATACAAGTACAGACAGACACACACAGTTACACATACATACACACAGACGGAGACAAATACACATACACGAGACAGACAGAGATAGATAAAACACACACACACACAAGGGAGAGAAAGAGAGACACAGTAGATTAGCATCAGTGCACAGGCAGGCGGTAAGAAGCTGTGATGAAATGCATTGCCAAGTGGCCTTGGTTCATGTGAGAGCTTCTTTGACAGTGAGTGTCAGCAGTCACTGGACTGTATGGATGATCTCCCCCCACCCGGCTGCCACACAAGTGACGTAGAGGTACCTGAATCCGGTTTCCTCTCCCTAACCCTGGGGCCAACTTAATAATAACGCTTACATTTGACACAGCGCCTTATCGCGCCTTCGAGACGTCTCAAAGCGCTTCACAGAATATACTGTAAAGTGAATTGACTGTGTATTTTGGGGGCGAAACGCGGCGGCCAATTGCGCACAGCAGCGTCCCCTAAAAAACAGCCGTGGATTGAGTGACCAAATTATTATTTTGTTTTGACGTGAAACCTTCAGTGAAAAGTTACCTTCATCATCCCGTCCCTTTCCCACTTAAACAGACCGCACTTCCTGAAACAGAGAACACAGCCGGTATAAAAGCCAGTCGCGAGTCAGGACAGCCTGGACACCACCCAGCTTCTTACTCAAACAAAACGCCGCTTTCCCCATTTAATATATAAAAACTGTTTCAAAAACCGCAGTCATTCCAACCAGGTGCACTGCTCAACCCCAGCACAAAGGTGTTTCACAACCTGCGACGCTTTGAAGCTAAGACCTTGCCGCTTGAGAAGGGGAACGGAATAAAACAGCGTCTCGGAGGCACAGGAAAAGGCAATTCATCTGAAAGAACTCTCTCTCGTCCGGTATTTTTTTTTCTGTTTAAAATATTTTGCCTAATTGTAAAAGCCATCACGGTTTCCGTTTGAACTGTTTTTGGCAGGAGTCCCGGGGGGGGGGGGGGACTGTGTGTGTGTGTGTGTGTGTGTGTGGGTGTCATCCTATAGCTGACCCCTCTAACCCTGTGGATCAGCTTTGCTGCTCTCTCTGTGCTGCCTCGAGTACTGCTCCCTTATAATCATAATATTCCTTGAGTTTTACATCGCGCCTCATCGCGTCTCTAAAGCCCCTTCGCAGGATATTCTGTGAAGTGTAGTGACCGCGTATTTTGGGGGCGAAACGTGGCAGTCGGTCGCGCACAGCAGTGCCCCACAGACAGCCGTGGAGCAAGTGACCAATTCTTTAATCTGGCGGATTTATTAGCCAGGACACCGGGAGAGAGAGAGAGAGAGAGAGAGAGAGAGAAAAACTCCCTTCTCTTTTTGAATAGCTCCGCGAGATCTTTAACATCCACCTGAACCAGCAACCTACGCCTAATACTCTCCGGAATTAGGTGAGCAGAATCTGTTCTTTCAGTGAGAGAGAGAGAGAGAGAGAGAAAAAGAGAGAGTGCGCATTTTAGTCCAACAATCTATCCCTGGGAATTTCTATGTGTAGGTGGGAGGCCTGGAATTCTCAGTTGGGTTTAGAGACCCTTAAGCAACGGCGATGGACTTCTGCTCGTGTCAGACACCCGGCTGACCTCCCCAAAAAACAACTAAACACGTTAGATATCCCTCTCTCTCCTTCCCTCAACTCTCTTCACCTCACTCCCTCCTTCCTGCATGAAAACCCTCCTAAAAGAAACCTACCTCACTGACTGGTAAACTCCCTCCAAATCCCCCCGCGCTTCCCATCTCGCTGGTGAATCACCAATGTCGTTAAAAACATAAGAGTTTGCAAGACGAAAGAAGACCAAGGTCCATCCAGTTCGCCCTCCAGCAGCCTGGCAGTCGCTTGCACAAGTCGTGTCCAAACTACATCCTGTATCCCCCAGATATTGTTTCCTAACAGAAATCTATTTAATTTGTTCCTGAAAGAATCAACACTTTCTGGTTCCACCATCTGTCTCCCCAGGGAGCCTGACTCTCTCTCTCTCTCTCTCTCTCTCACACACAGACTCTCATACACACCGACACACGCAGCCTCACATACAAACACACACACACACAAAACACACAAACGTTATGTCCCTGTAAAATGCTTTGAGCGCTTGAAAGGTGCTGTGTAAGTTAACGTCTTGGGCGAAACGTACCTGCAGCTTTTGCTGGGTAACCTGCTCAGTGAAATGACCCGGTTGCCACAGGGGCATTTGAAGAAGCGCTTGAGGGCGTCGTGCCAGTGGTAGTCGTGATTCTCGGCCACGCAGGTCTCCAGGGGTTTGAAGTGCGTGTATTTACACTGTAACAAGAACAAATGGTGATTGATTTATCTGTAATAGACATGGTCTGCCCAGCTTCACGCTAATACAGCAGCGTGACGTTCGGGAGGGGGGTGAACCACACACACAGACTCATACACGCGCACAGAGACACACACTCGCACAGACACACATACACCCACAGACTCGCATACCCACAGACACACACACATACTCACACACGCACACGTACTCACACACGCACACACACCGGACTCTCACACACAGATTTGCACATATACACAGACTCACACGCAAACACAGAGACACACACACACACACACAGACTCTTATAATAATAATAATCCTTGCATTTGATATAGCGCTCCACCACTGGCAACCACTCTGGGAGGCTGCCCTATGTGAGAGGCGTTATATAACTAACTGCAAGTTGCTGATGTAGCCCCTTGTCAAGTCGTTGAGACGTCTCAAAGCGCTTCACGGAATAAATATATTGTAAAGTGGACTGACGGTATTTTTTGGGCGAAACGCGGCAGCCAATTGCGCACAGCAGCGTCCCCACAAACACACACTGACACACACAGCCTCACATACAAACGCACAATGATGCAAACACACACACACACACACACACGTGTGGTGGGACAGGCTCGATGGTCCCGACCAATAAATACTGACTCACACACAAACACTGACACACATACACATATTGGCTCTCTTCCACACGCGCACCCAAACAGAAAGAATTGAGGACTAGAGGCCACAGTCTTAAACGTGTGGCTAAATCCAAGTGAAACAAGGAAACGTTTTTTCTCGCAGTGGGGGGGGGGGGGGGGGCGGAGGGGGTGAGTGTGGAATTCACACCCCCAGAGTGCGGCGGAGCCAGAGTCAATTGAAGAATTTAAAAGGCAAATAAATACGGTGGGAGCTCGACGGTGTAAACGTAAGAATTTCCAGACGAAAGAAAGCCGAGATCCACCCAGTTCACCTTCGACCATCCGAGCAGTTGCTCGCACATGTCGTGTCCCAAACTATATCCTGTATCCCATGATACTATTTCTTTAAATAAATGGATCTAATTTGCTTTTGAACAAATCAACACTTTCTGCTTCCACCGTCTCCCTTGGAAGCTTAGGAACAGGCGGAGGCCGTTCAGTCAACAACAACTTGCACGTATGCAGCGCTTCCCCCTCACGCAGGGTAGGGTCCCAGAGTCCCATTCAGCCCCTCGAGCCTGTTCCGCAATTCTATCAGATCATGGTTGATCTGTATCTCAACTCCAAATAGAGCCGTTCCATACGTTTACCACTCGCTCACTGAAACAGCCTCCTCCTGTTCCTAGGTTCCTAAGTCAAGTCCATGCTCAAAGCCACCCGACAGAGGACAAACATAACAAGAGAGGGCGGCGGAGGAGTGATGCCTGTTAATAACCAGATGGAACTTCATTCCATCTTTCTTTCAAGATGTCCCAATAATGCTGGTTTATTGAATGAATCACAGCTCTCGTTAGCGAAGTTCAAACCAACACCAATTCATTAACCAGACCAGATGCTTTTCGTCCTAGGTAGAAAACAGTCCTAAACTCAGTATGAAACCCGTTACATAATCACATTCCTGTTCGTGCAACAACACACTTTTTGCTTTTCCTCCCAATCCTGTCCCGAGGCATTGTACATCTGCCATATCTAACTGCAAAACAACAAGCACCAGACATTTCAGTAGAACAAACAACACAGTCTCTAGAGTCCAGCTTATGCTGGGATGAACTATAATAACACTACTAATAACCCTTGCGTTTCATATAGCACCTTATCACGTTGAGATGTCTCAAAGTGCTTCACTCTAGAGTGGAGTGACTGTGTATTTTGTGGATGAAACACGGCAGCCAATCGCACACAGCAGCGTCCCCACAAACAGTCGCGGATTAAATGACCAAATTATTACCCACGGAAAGCGATCTGCCAATTGATCAACAACCTTACTGCTGAGTAAACACGGGTGTGGTGTGTGTGTGGAGTAAGGGAACCTGCCTAAGATTTCGTCCCGCCCGGGAATCGAACCCGGGTCCTCTCGCTTGCGAGGCGAGCGCTCTAACCATTGAGTTACGCAACTCTATAACTATTAAGGGATATGAAGAAAGGGCCAGGGAAATGGGATGAAAACATCTGCTGTGATCTAATCAAGTGGTTGCATGTTCTGGTTTCAGTCTGTGGTTTAACAGGTACACAATTTCCACCCCCATCTCTCTGCCCTCCCCTCCCCTCCCCCCCACCCCACGCGCCAGAAACTGCACACATGTCGGGCTGGCAGGGGAGCGGAGCTGTGTTTTTTTTAAGGCTTTGGACAGTTAATGGTCCGTTACAGAATTCCGAGCAGTCAACAGTGTGAGCGGGAAACACGTGTGTGAGCTAATCATTCGGTGTTAGTGTACACGCGATGTAAACATTTGCAGTGTTCGGGCAAAACATGAGTGTGATGTGACCATTTAGTGTTACTGGAAGATACGTGTGTGATGGAAGCAAGTGGTGGGTTTGCGATGGAAAGACTAGTGACTCAGGTTTATAAAGCTTCTGTATTTTTCCTAACGACAAAACCGCAGACAACCCCTCCCCTGCGCCCCCCCCCCCCCACCACCACCACCACCCGACTGTTAATCAGCAGCGAGTAATGACATTACGGAGTTGGTCTGCCTTTGAAACAGTCAACCGTGACATTCCTGCAAGCCCTGGTTTGAGATGGCCCTGAGCCAGAAATTCACTCCCTTCCTCCCTCCCCCACCCAATCAATCAGTCACTCCCTCTCTCCTTCACTCATTCACAGTCAGTCACTCCCTCCCTCACACATTCCCTCCCTTCCTCCCTCACTCACCGTTTTACAGGTCACCACCCGACACTCCATCTCGCGGATAGTTCTCATCTTGTCCTCCATTTGCTCTTTCTTCACCAGGGGCTCGAAGTACTGCTCTTGTATCTCGATCTCGGCCTATTTAACACACATATATATGTATATATTTCAATACGTTTCAGGAAAAACACAGCTACAGCTCTTTAAACCTCCACCGCTGCACTCCTGAGGCTAAAGATACTATCCATTTTACAGAGGAAACCGCTTAATAATTATTAACCGCCTAATCAACTAACAACTGGGTTCCTCCTTACTTCTAGGTAAACAGAGGCGTGGGTGTGGAGTAAGGAAACTTGCCTACGGTTTCGCCCCGACCGGGAATCGAACCCGGGTCCTCTCGCTTGAGAGGCGAGCGCTCTAACCACTGAGCTACAGGACTCCGCTTTTCTTACAGTGAGGGTTCACAGGGGCGGAGAGGGGAGAGGACACTGCTGGCCATGGTGGCTGGTCTCATAACAGTGCTCTATGTATATTGTCACACGGAATGGGGTCAGGACAGATAAACAAGCTCTGTAAAAGCCTTGACTACGGCTTTACTGTTTGTACTATTAAGACAATTTAGGAAAACTGTTTGTGTGTTTCTATTTCACCAGAACTATCCTCCTTGGGGATGGTTGACGGGGTGGGGGCGGTGGGGGGGGGTTAGTGGGGTCTCCTTGCACCTGAGCTGGATGACGTGCCTGACAACTGAACATCAGAGCATGCGTTGGGGTAACTGCTGGAGTCTACCCAGCAAAAACCACACAGCCTTGCCATTGAGGGCACGGTCTGGCCAAGCCCCTCGCGACTGGTTGGCCCTTCCAGGTCCTGCCGATGAGCCGGGCCGGGCTGTGCTGCCATCAGCAGTCAGTGCCCTGGGATACTGAGGCCCCTCCTGGCTCAGGAACCGGGACTAGAGACCGTCACAGAGAGGGGGGGAGGGGGGCTCGGTTCCGATAGGGAGGCTGAGGAGGGGAATTTGCGGATGATAACCTGAAGCGTCAAAGTCAAACGGACCCATTGTTAAAGAGGAATTTGAAGGAAGGGAAGAGGTGCTCTCTCTGCGGATGGACCTGTGCGCGTCTGACAAACACGGACCGACAGAAAGTCAGGCGTGACATTAACTGTTTTTTTTTGCTGTTAAGACCGTAAAGAGAGCGAGTTCGGGTCGGGAGGGGCTCCCTCGCTCGGCCTACATAAATGTCCCGAGCAGAAAATAAATGGGGGTCAGTCGAGCCTCTCTCTCTCTCTCTCTCTGAGCAGAGGTAAGACACAGAGAGCTGCATTGTACGGGGGTCGGTGTAGATTCCACAGGAAGAGGGCAGGCTGAACACAAACCACAGAGTGGCCCGGTTCCAAGGTGTCTGTTGGCCGAGGGGGAGAGGCGACAGGCAAGGCAGCCTTGGCTCGGTGCCGTTACCTCTTGAACTGCGCCAATATGTCTGGACCTGGCATTCAGTATTTGCTGAAACTCTTGAGACTCCAAGTATTCCAATCGCTCCCGCCGTTTCTTCAGGCTCGGTTCCTCAGGCTCCGGTTCTCCGCCTGAAACAAGACAGGAAAAAAAATCTTCCCGCAAAAATGTTTCAGCCTCTGCCCTACCTCTCCGCCGGCCGGCGGCGTGCGGCCAGTCTTTCAAACAACTCCCTCACAGACTTAACTTGACTGGTCCTTATGTAATAATAATGGAAACCTGTAGCGTAGTGGTTATCCTTGCATTTGATACAGCGCATCGTTGAAATGTCTCAAAGCACTTCACAGAATATACTGCAAAAGTGTAGTGACTGTGTATCTTGTGGGCAAAACGCGGCAGCCAATTGCGCACAGCAGCGTCCCGCAAACAGTCGTGGATTGAGTGTCCAAATTATTCTTTATTTTCGAAGCGATTATTATTACCCCCGGAAAGTGATCCTCCAATCGATTAACAACTGGGTTCCTACTCGCTGCAGGGTAAACAGAGGCGTGTGGAGTAGGGAAACTTGCCTAAGGTTTTGCCGTGCCCGGGAATCAAACCCGGGTCCTCTCGAGAACACGAAGGAAAGAACTGAGAGTGAACGAAGGGTAGGGGGCAGCGTTAATAATAATAATAATAATAATCCTTGGATTTGATAGAGCGCTTTTCACGTCGGAGGACGTCCCAAAGCGCTTTACAGAACACACTGTAAAGTGAATTGACTGTATATTTGTGGGCGAACGCGGCAGCCAATTGCGCACAGCAATGTCCACAAACAGTCGTAGATTGAAAATGACCAATTTATTATTGTTTTGGGTTTTGGAGGGATTATTATTAGGCTCTGTGTGGAGTAAGGAAACTTGCCCAAGGTTTCGCCCTCTGCCTGGAATTGAACTCAGGTCTCTCGCTTGCAAAGCGAGTGCTCTAACCACTGAGCTACAGGACTCCACGTTAAGACCAGGTAGCGGAGCAGACAGAGGAGGGGAATAAGAAAGGAAGGAAGATTAGAGATCAACTTTACCCCGTCCAGAGTCCAACAGTCTTGAAATCACCTTGAGAGTCATTAGGGGGTGAGGGGAGTCCTCAGTGCTATTCCAAACCACTATAGACAGCTACGTCGAAACCTGGTGTCGTTGTGTTGCCCGACTCGTTAAACAGAGACCTCTTAAGTGGCTATTTACCCATGTGGGTTTTTTTTCGCCAACGAGAGTATTACTGGCAATCATGTGCATCCACATTTGAGGTTAGCAACGTTACACACACACGCACGCGGTGTGCCACTATTGCTCTCCATAAACCTGTTGTGGACCAAGGCGAGGCCAAAATCAACCCCCAACACCTCATCCCCATCCCACTTAACCCCCCACCATCAAAAAAACACACACACGTAAAAGGGCTGAAAACATAAACCAGATTTTCTCCACTCATCTGTCACTGTTGAAGCCCGTTATAATATTTATGTTTATTTTTCAGTCAAGTGTTTAATATTAGTGTCTTATTTTTTTTGGGGTAGGCCGGATATCTGGCACGTGTGGAAACGCGTCACCGTGCTTAAGAGTATCCAGACTTTAACCTCTATTTAACTTTTAAAGCGCTTGTTTAGCGCCTTTCACGTTGGGAGGATGTCCCAAGGCGCTGGACAGTCAAGGGTTTGGAGGGGTGGAGGGTGACCGATGGCCCAGTCGAAGAGGAGTCTTGAGACGTGCCTTGAAGGAAGCAAGGTAAGGTGGGTGGGGGGGTGGCGAGGCGGAGGGGCTGTGGGATGGAGGCAGAGAGACTGAAGCCCGACTGCTGATAGTGGGGCCAGACTGACAGTTCCACACGTATACGTCACTTACAATTTCCCTGGGTCAGGAATGGGACGCGCACTCTCTCTCCCCGGAGGGATGTATCCCTCTTACCAAATTCTGGGGACTATTAGGCGCAGTTGGCAGGAGTCAAAGCTTGGGGGGAGCCCAGAGTGATAAGGCTCTGCACCAAACGCGAAGCTACGACTGTTTCTGGCGACGCCACTGGGCGCCATTGGCTGCCCCGTTTTGCTCACAAAATATACCCGTCAATTCACTTTGCAGTGGACCCCGTGAGGCGCTTTGAGACGTCTCGACGACGTGATCAGGCGCTGTGTCAAACGCGAGGATTATTATTATTACTTATTAGATGTACATCACTCTCAGCAATTACCCACAAAGTGCTTTGGAAACTCTGGCGCGCATCAAACGCGAGGATTCGCTGGAAGATGAACTGACTGACCAGCCGGGGAGGAAAGGCTTTGCTCCACGCGCTCAGCCACCTTGGCAGCCGCTCCACTCAGGTCGCACAGCTTCCTCTTCACGCAGTTCGGGTCTTCCTTTGCCAGCACTGTGCCCTTCTCGCGCAGTTTACTCACGGCTGCAATCTGTAAAGTATAACGGGTCGGGAATAAGGTGGCAAATCCAATGGGGAATAAATCTACCTAACCCTGGCACCCCGGGCAGACACTGCATCATTGGCGGTGCCGTCTTTCGGATGAGACGTTAAACCGATGTCCCACCCGCCTGTCAGGCGGACGTTAAAGATTCCGCGGAGCTAAAGAGAGAGAGAGAGAGAGAGAGAGAGCTCCCGACTGAGCCAGGCTGGGACCCACGTTAATCATTAAGACTGTTTGATGGAGACGGGAGGGAATGGGCATCGGTACCTTTTTAGAATCCGTTCGGCCGCTCGACTTCGCGGCTGAAGGCAGCGATGATTCAAAGAACAAGATATCGTCCCCTTCGGCAAAGCCTCTGCCCAGTCTGGGAGCCTGTGAGGTCGCGGTTACCGTCTGCTCTTTGGGAAATCCAGCCCCGACCCTGGGCGACGCTAGCGGGGACGGCGTTCCGGTCCCGGAACCCCGATCGACCGCTCCACCAGCGCTCTGCATAAAGCTGCGAAAAAGAAGCCGTGGTCAATTCATCAAAGTGGAATCCTGTAGCTCAGCAGTTAGAGCCCTCGCCTCGCAAGCGAGAGGTCCCGGGTTCGATTACCGGGTGGGACCAAACCTTAGGCAAGTTTCCTGACTCCCCACACACACACGCGCCTGTTTACAAGCAGTCAGTAGGAACCCGGTTGTTAGTCGACTGGCGGATCGCTTTCCGGGAGTAATAATCTCTCTCAAAAAAAAGTGGTCGCTCAATCCAAGACTGTTTGTGGGTCACTGCTGCGCGAAATTGGACTGCCACGTCTCACCCACAAAATATACGGTCACTCCACTTCACAATATGCTCTTGAAGCGCTTTGAGACGTCTCAACGACGTGATAAGGTGCTGTACCGAATGTGAGGATTGTTATTATTATTAAAGCCATGGCACGATTCGAAAAGAGAACGGAGTTTCTCTCCCGATGTCCTGGTTAACAATCCTCCCCCCCATCTGCATGAAATTGGTTGCATGTCTGCCTAGAAAATACAGTCACGACAATTTACAATAAGCGCTTTGAGACATCCTCCCACGTGAAAGATGCTGTAGCAAATACAAGGCTCGGTGTTATTTACGCAACCCCCAGCGAAGGAACTCTGTTCACCTACAGCTGTGCTTTCTGGAACTCCCTGCCTTGCTCCTTCCCTCTCCCACCTTCAAATCCCTTCTCAAAACACTGCTCTTCAGACGTGCCTTTGTTCAAAACTCAACCTCCACGTTACAGCCTTGTAACACCCCCAAGATATTTGGCCTTTGTGGAAAAACATCATGTAAGTGCCACTAACTGCCTTTGCCGAGGGAGCAGAGGTTTGAGGAGAGGTTGGTTACCCTGGGACTTTTCTCACAGACTAAGAGCGAGGAAGGGCTTGATGTAGGAAATTTGAATTCAGATACGTTTCGTGAACGATAGGTCAGAGCTCGACATTAAAGACTGCAGCTTGTTTTGTTTTATTCAGTCGGTTGCCTGATGCGCACAGAAACCCATCAGTGTCTTAAAGAGTCTCCAAACCAAGCTACTGAAAACCCCACATACGTTTACGTACAGGGTGTTCGTCTGGGATGGAATGTGGACTCTCTCTCCCCAGTGGAACGCACCCCGTTTACCTAATCCCTGAGAGTTTAGGCACAGGATAGAGATGTTACGGTCTGGAATGCACTGCCTGAAAGGGCGGTGGAAACAGATTCAATAACAACTTTCGAAAGGGAATTGGATATGTACTTGAAAAGGAAAAATTTGCAAGGACACGAGGAAAGAGTGGGGGAGTGGGACTGGTTGGTAGCTCTTTCAAGGAGCCAGCGCAAGCACGATGAGCCGAATGGCCTCCTTCTGTGCTGTAAGATTCTACGATTTTAGGACGGCAAATGCTAACGATTGAAGAGGGCGAGGGTGGGGGGGGTCCCCGGAGTATGCGAACTGGAGTTTACCATTAAAACCAAACACTATCAAGTCTCCCCACTGCTGTCCAGTGAGGACCACTCTACTCGTTAGTTGTAAGGTTAACAAGAGCCCGAGTGGGAAGATTCCCAAACCAGATGTTTCTCAATTCTCTTAAGACTGCATCGTACAGTTCATGTCTGGTCAGACAACTTGTACGAGAGAGCCACCTGTCCTTCAAAATGGGCAGTGCAGTGGTTTATCTGTCGGGGGGGGGGGGGGGGGGGTGGTATGAGGGAAGAAAGAGAGAGAAAGAGAGAGGGGGCGAAGAGAGAGAAAGAATGAGGATTTGAGAAAGGGGGAAGGGGAGAGAAAGAGAGGGACAGAGAGAGAAAGGGGTGGGGGAGAGAGAGGAGGGGAGAGACAGAAAGAGAAGGGGTTTGGGAGAGTGAGAGTGAAAGAGGGGGAGAGAGAGTGGGAGAAAGAGAGGGTTGGGGGAAGAGAGGTGGGCGGCGGGGGGGGGGGGGAAGAGAGTGGGGGGTGGGGGGGGGGGAGAGAAAGCCAACACAAATTTCTTCACCACCCCCCACACCCCATCAGCAAGTCAGGCCCGAGAGCTTCACCTCTTCTGTAACTCTTCCGTTCTCTTCTTTCGTGTTTCCAGGATCTTTCGCCGTTGCTGCTTCAACAGGTCAGAAGCCGAGATGGAGAGGATGGAGGAGCCGGGCTGTGCATTGCTCACTGTCGGGAAATACAACGGCACGAAATATAATAAGAGTTACAATAGCGTAATACTCAGTGGTCAGAGCCCTCGCCTCGCAAGCGAGAGGACCCGGGTTGGATTCCCGGTCAGGGCAAAACCTTAGACAAGTTTCCTTACTCCACACACACACGCGCGCGCGCCTCTGTTTACCCAGCAGCTAGTAGGAACCTGTTAGGTTGTTAGTCGACTGTCGGATTGATTTCCCGGGGGTAATAAAAAACTGGGCCACCCAATCCACGGCTGTTTGTGGGGACCCCGCTGTGCGCAATTGGCTGCCGCGTTTCACCCACGAAACACACAGTCAATTCGCTTTACGGTGTATCCTGCGAAGCGCTTTGAGACTACTCGAAGATGCGATCAGGCGCTGCATCAAATGCGAGGATTATTATTATTACACACAAACTCACCAGCCAGAGAGGATTTGCTTAAATGCTTCTTCAGGTTGCGGGCTCCAAACGAGGGCGCCTCCATTAATTCCTCAAACTCCCCAGTGAAGCTCGTCGCGCTCTTTCCATTTGCTAACGCTGGAGGAAGACACAATAGCCACGTGAAAGGACGAAGATACATTCAGATGCAGTGGTTTCCATTTGATAATAATAGTTAAGGTATCTGCAACCACAACCTGCACTTGCACGGCGCCCTTCACGCAGGGCAGTGCCTCGAAGGGGAAGGAAGGGGCAGGGCGGAGGGATGGGGGGAAGAGGCACAAAGCAGGAGGCCGGAGCCAGTCGAGCGGAGGCAGCGGGAGGTGGAGTGGGGGAAGAAAGGAAGGTCAGAGGGGTAGGGAGGTGCCAGGGCGTGAAGGGATTTGTAGACGAGTGAGAGGATCTTGGAAACAATCCACGCTACATAGACACCCCCCTCCCTCCCGAAAAATTAAAGGAGGTTCTCTCCCACATTACCTAGCCTCTGCCTGGTTTCTTTGACGATCATGTCGGCCCCTCTCACCACCATGTTACTCAGTGTTGTCTGAACGCTTCTCTTGGGACCCGCAGCTGTGCTGTGAAGGGTAACCGCCACGTTAGTACTGCACTCGCTCAGTCAGGCCACGCTCCCCTCAACCAGCGCACAAACCTACCACAAGCGCTGGGTGTCAGACTAGCTCAGCTGGTAGCAGTCACGCCTCTGCGTCAGAGGCCCTGGGTTCAAGCCCCCCACGAGTCAACAACAACAACTTGCACTTGTATAGCGCTCTCCGCGCAGGATAGCGCCTCAGAGCGCTTCACAGTTTATTTTGTTTCTTTTTCGAAGGATTAGCCCCGGAAAGCGATCCGCCAATCGACTGACAACTGGGTCCCTTGCCCCTCAAACTCTCCTACATCGTCCGTCCCTCCTTTCCAGACCCTCCCTCCCTCCCAGACCCTCTCTCCTTCCCAGACCCTCCCTCCCTCCTTCCCAGATCTGCTTGCCAAACACGTAACGCGCTCTTACACTGAGGCTGCGTACGAGGCAGAGGAAACTCCTCCGTAGTGGAAGCCCTGGTGACACAGACGCTCCTTCAGGTTGCCCGGCTTCCCCCGCCCTGACCTGGGGCCGTGGCCCGAGAAGCTGGACTGCAGGTCCGCTCGCTTGGCGCTCAGTTTCTTATACTGAGCCTTGACGTGGTACTCACAATACCCACACTCCCTCTGCGGGCAAGAGAGGGAGTTAGTGTCAGAAGTTCAGCACAGTGTTATCCCGTGAAGTGCTGTGAGACGCCTTGAAGACGTGATAAAGCACTGTATCAGAACACAAGGATTATTAATTACTATTATAATTATTATAAAAACCATTGCATTTGATGCAGCGCCTTATCACGTCGTTGAGGGGTCTCAAAAGCGCTTCACAGAATAATAATATAATAATAATCCTTGCATTTGATATAGCGCTTTTCACGTCGGGAGGATGTCCCAAAGCGCTTCACAGAACACACTGTAAAGTGAATTGACTGTATATTTGTGGGCGAACGCGGCAGCCAATTGCACACAGCAATGTCCCACAAACAGTCGTAGATTGAAAATGACCAATTTATTATTGTTTTTGGTTTTGGAGGGATTATTATTAGGCTCTGTGTGGAGTAAGGAAACTTGCCCAAGGTTTCGCCCTCTGCCTGGAATTGAACTCAGGTCTCTCACTTGCAAAGCGAGTGCTCTAACCACTGAGCAATAGGACTCCACGAGAATATACTGTAAAGTGGATTGGTTGGATATTTTGTGGGGGAAACCCGGCAGCCAATTGCCCACAAACAATCATGGATTGAACATCCAATTTATTTATTTATGTTTGGAGGGATTGTAGGAAGGTAAGGAAACTTGACCAATGTTTCGCCCCACCCGGGAATCGAACCCTTGCGAGGCGAGCGAGCTAACCGCTACAGGACTCCATTATTATTATCGTCATTGTCATGCTAAAACTCACCAAGTTGACAATCTGTGTGCAGGGTTCCCCGTTCTTCTTCCGAGCTCGGCAGCACCCCATGTCCATGGCTTCTCCCATGACCAGGATCTTCTGTGGGTGATCGACGGACAGGCAAACCTAGCCCGGGAGAGATGAAAGTGATGAGGCCAGCAGAGAGGGTCCCAGTCACAGAACGTTACACAGCAGAAACAAAACCAGCCATTCGGGCTCATCGTGTGTCAGCCTGGCTCGGTGGTAGCGGTGTCGCCTCGGGAGTCAGAAGGTTGTGGGTTCAAGCCCCACGTTTGGGGTTTGAAGTCTAGATTCACGTGGCATTTTGGAGCATTCAGAATTTGGCAAATCGACGAACTCTTGCTGCACTTCTTGAGAGAGGAATTTAACTTGAAAAAAAAATCAAGGGCCGTGTTTAGGAACTTGCCAAATTCTGGACGACCCAAAATGCTTCAGTCAGTAAAGTGAACGTTGACAACAACAACTTGCATTTATTGAGGGAGGGAGTTCTAGAGTTTTGGGGCTTAGTGCCTGAAAGCTCGGCCACCGATGGTGGAGCTGAGATGGCATTTCTCCCAGAAAGCGACTTGTCCGCGGAAACTCACGTCCACCCACCTCTTCCGACCCTTCCTTGGGTTTCATGGGATTGGCGTTGAGTAGCCCGATGACGGTCCCGGTCTCGGTTTTCCAATGTTCCTTGTGGACGTTCCCGAACAGGAAGAGGGACAGGTTGAGGCTGGAGCTGCACAAGTCAGTCAGTCGCCAGATACTGAACGTTTTACCCTGAAACAGGAAATATATATTTCAACTTCAAGTGATAATAATTATAATAATAATAATCCTTGCGTTTGATTAACACCTCATCACGTCGTCGAGACGTCTCAAAAATCGTCAAACATTATTATTAGTAGTTTATTTTTTTGGAAGGGATTATTTTTTTGGAAAGCGATCCACCAATCGACTAACAACCGGGTTCCTACTTACTGCTGGGTAGACAGAGGGCGTGTGTGTGGAGTAAGGAAACTTGCCTCGGGTTTCGGAGTCAAACCCGGGTCCTCTCGCTGGGGAGGCGAGGGCTCTAACCACTGAGCTACAGAACTCCACAAGAAAACCAAACCGTCGAAATAACATTTAGCGACTCGTAAAGAATAGAGGTTGAACATCTCCGCCCGCTGCACGTACATTGCTGGAGCTCTGTGGCGTCGTCTTCTTACACACAACCCCAAACGTGACCCAGTCTGTGGCTTCCAGGTTCTCAGTCGCCAGCTTGGAACGCAGCTGGGAGAGACGGATCATCTTCCGGCTCTGCATCTTCCTCTCCATCTCCGTCGACGAGACCAAAGGGTTTCTTGTGGGAGAACAGGGAGAGAATACAATACAACACATTGCTGGGTCTGAGCGGCTGATCACAGTCTGGAGCCCGAAGATGCCTCGTTTATAAATAGGCATTAATAATAATAATAATAATTCTTGCATTACATATAGTGCCGTATCATGTTGTTGAGACTTCTCAAAACGCTTCGCAAGCAGTCGTGGATTCAGCGAACAAATTATTATTATTATTATTTTGTTTTTGAAGGGATTGTTACCAACCGGAAAGAGATCCGCCAACCGACTGGCAACCGGGTTCCCACTTACTGCTTGAGGCGTGTGTGCGGAGTAAGAAAACTCCCTAACGTTTCGCCCTGCCCGGGAATTGAACCTGGGTCCTCTCGCTTGCGAGGTGAGCGCTCTAAGAACTGGGCTACATGCCCCACACACACACACATACACACACACACACCCTGTGCTAACATTTCCATTCCTAGACCCTGGTTACTGTACCTGATTCTTAAGCCAGAGAACCTGTCCACAGCAATGTCCTGCTCCACAATCCCAGACGGTCCCGGTCTCTCGCGATCCTTTGTTGTTGTGGGAAGTTTCGGGACAGTGATGTTGGTTTTGTTGCTGGATTTCAGAGGCTGTGGGAGCTGGGTACATCCTGCCTCTTTGCGAGTGGGACTCGTTCTCCCTGTGGGTTTTTAATGAATGGATAAAATCACTTCTGGACACTTTATCTGCGAGACAGCGGCTTATCACATCGTCGAGACGTCTCAAAGCGCTTTTCACACAAGATACTGTAAAGTGGAGTGACTGCGTATTTCGTGGGGCGAAACGCGGTAGCCAATTGCGCACCGCAGCGTCCCCACAAACAACCGTGGATTAAGTGACATCATTTTTTTTGCCCCCGGAAAAGTGATCCGCCAATCGACTAACAACAGGTTCCTACCTACTGTTGGGTAAACAGAGGCGCGTGTGGGGAATGAGGAAACTTTCCCAAGGTTTCGTCCTGCCCGGGAATCGAACCCCGGTCACTGAGCTACAGGACTCCTCGATATTTTAGGAGTTTCACAAATTGCTGAGGCGAGAGACATGGGACCAACACACTGGGGTCATTACCTGGTGCCGGGCGCTGTTGTGGTGGTGATCGGCTGGTCTGCGGCTTGTTTTTCAGTAGCCCGTTCCTGGGCTTTGAAGAGGGGGTGAGCATAGCTTCCTGAAAGGCCCTGCTTTCGTGTACCTTCTGTGAATTACACCCAGACTTTTCTGTTGGAACATAAAGTTACATCGGTGAATATAAGCTTCACACGAGACAATGTCAGTGCTGGTGCGAGCTCCCTCTCCCCTTCTCTTCCTTCCTCTTCCTCCTCGTATCCCATCCTTTCCCTGCCCCCCCAAACATCTACGTAACCCCACTCCTAGTGCAGCCTTTGAACTTTAAAACAATGCAATAATGATAATAATAATAATCCTTGCATTTCATAGAGCGCCTTTTCAGGACATTCAGACGTTCCAAAGCGCTTCACAAGATATTCTGTGAAGTGTAGTGACTGTATCTTCTGGGTGAAATGTGGCAGCCAATGGCGCAAAGCAGTGTCCCCACAAACAGCCGTGGATTGACTGACCACATTATTATTTTATTTATTTTTAAAAAGGGTTATTACCCCCGGAAAGCGATCCGCCAATCGACTAACAACCGAGTTCCCAATTACTGCTTGGGAAACAGAGATGGGTGTGTGGAACTTGGCTGAGGTTTCGTCCCGCCCAGGAATCGAACCCGGATCCTCTCGCTTGCGAGGCGAGCGCTCTAACCACTGAGCTACAGGATTGCACAATGAGTGGGTGGGTGGGGGGAAAGAGAGAGGTCGAAAGATTTAATAACGAATGGCGATAATGTGGGTAACGGCAGCGCAGGAATGATGAGCTGAATGGGTTTTCCCATCAGGTGAATTCACTCAGTGCTCGCAGTGTGGAATCCGTACCCGGTGCTCTCAGCTTCTTTGGTGGAGGTCGAGGTGACGCTTTACCAGCGACGGTGGAGATCGAGGGCCCAGGATCGCTTTTGGCAGCCGACAGCCGCTGCTGTAACCTCTCCATCTGCTGCTTCATCCGCTCCAGCTCCGCTGTGGAGAGACCAGCGGGGACATAAGGAGACTCACTCACAGTCCACACTGCTGTGCCGTGAACCCCATTTCCCTTACGCCATCAGGCCTTGGCCTTGGGGTAACTGCTGGAGTCTAACCAGCTAAAACCACACATAGCTTGGCCGTTGAGAGAGAGAGCGCTGCCTGGCAACTTTCCCACTGCTTGTCCAGCTAGGACCACCTTCCCCGTTAGTTAGAGGTTTGACTGGCAGGGTTAACAGGAGTTGAGTGGGAGGATTCCCTGCTCTTCCAGGTCCTGCGATGAGCAGAGAGAGAGCGAGAGAGAGAGACAGAGAGAGGAGAAAGAGAGGGGGAGAGAGAGAGAGAGAAAACTTGGCTGAACCGCCCTACCCTCTAAGCTGTGTTTGCCCACTTTCTCATTTGGAATCAAATGTGACGCACCTTCTAATTCCTGTTTGGATGTTTCCGATTTCTTTTGCTCGGGAGAAGGGGATTGGCGGGTTGGGATCTCTGTCGTATTTTCCCCGTCGCTCTCATCTTCCTCCTCCTCCAAGTCATCAATGTCCCCAAACAGAGCGTGGACAGCCTCACTGGAGACCCCCTCCCCTTCGGCATCGAACAGGTCATCCCACTGATCCCCTCTCTCCTCGTCCTCCTCCTCCTCCTCCTCCTCCTCGAGATTGCTCTGCTCCAGGCTGGGCTCTTCCTGAAGACTTGACTCTAACGTCTCTGTCTCTTCCTCATTTTCCTCCAACAGGGAAGCCAGCACATCCAGGTCATCTATACCTGAGGCCCAAACAACAATCAGGACAATCGTTGAGACATCTCAAAAGCGCTTCACAGAATATATTGTAAAGTAGATTGACTGTGTATTTTGTGGGCGAAACCCGGCAGCCAATTGCTCACAGTAGCGTCCCCACAAACAGACGTGGATCGAACGACCACCAATGTTTTATTATCCCCCGGAACGTGATCCGCCAATCGACCCACTACCCGGTTCCCACTTACTGCTCGGCAAACGTGTGGAGTGAGGAAACTCGCACGAGTCTTATCGTTATAAACCGTAACTCGCCTACGTGCCCCCCGAGTCCCATTCAGTCTCCGAGCAAAAATATTTTTATTTGCACTGAGCGTACTGTATAAAATAAATCATCTCCTGACTTGCAACGTTGCTACCGCATTTTTTACCCCCCCACCACCACCCCGTCTCCCCCATTGAAGTACGCATGCACAGGGGGCTTTATCCGACTTATACGAGTTTGCCTGCAACTGACACTGTGCGCGAGTCAGATCAAACGTTACGGTTCCCGACCGATACGACCCGCGCGGGTTTTACTTGCGGAAACTCCGGACTTATTCCGGTAAAACCGGCGGCCGACTCAAAAGGCCCTCGACCCAGTTTCGTGTTCAAAAAAAAAACAAACCAAACCCCCCCCCAAAAAAAAAAGACGTCACTCGACCGAGACGCTCTCACCTTCCATGGCTGTCGGGGGCCGAGCACGACTCACGAGGCTGTGCTTCGGGCGGCGCCGTGAAAACCGGTCGGATGAACGGAGAGAGAGGGAGAGAAAAAAAAAATGACCGTCCGCCAACAGCAACGCGCAGCGCACTTCACGTCAGATAAAAGTCTCAGAGCGCTTCGCCGGGTGTGGAGGGAGGGTGCGCGTGTGCGTGTGGGGTGGGGGGGGGGGGGGGGGGGTGCGTGTGTGGGAAATGACTCCACTCGATTTTTTTTTATATGAGGAGGGGACACGGTGGATCACGTTAACCATCCCGACCCTCGCGCTGTAATAATAATAATAATAATAATAATCCTCGCATTTGATATAGCGCTGTTCACGTCGGGAGGACGTCCCAAAGCGCTTCACAGAACACACTGTAAAGTGAATTGACTGTATATTTGTGGGCGAAGCGGCAGCCGATTGCGCACAGCAATGTCCCACAAACAGTCGTGGATTGAAAATGACCTATTACTGTTTTGGGGTTTCGGAGGGACCGCCACTGGTTTCGCCCCTCACCAGCACTCACACTGCCCCCCCCCCCACCCCCAGCACTCACACCCCCACCCCCAGCACTCACACTGCCCCCCTCCCCACCCCCCAGCACTCACACTGCCCCCCCCCACCCCCCAGCACTCACACTGCCCCCCCCACCCCCAGCACTCACACTGCCCCCCCCCCACCCCCCAGCACTCACACTGCCCCCCCCCCACCCCCCACCCCCTCACACTGCCCCCCCCCACCCCCAGCACTCACACCCCCACCCCCAGCACTCACACCGCCCCCCCCCCACCCCCAGCCTCACACTGCCCCCCCCCACCCCCCCCCTCACACTACCCCCCCCACCCCCCAGCACTCACACTGCCCCCCCCACCCCCCCCTCACACTGCCCCCCCACCCCCACCCCTCACACTGCCACCCCCCACCAGCACTCACACTGCCCCCCCCCCCCCCCCTCACACTGCCCCCCCCCCACCCCCAGCACTCACTCTGCCCCCCCCCCCAGCACTCACACTGCCCCCCCCCCACCCCCAGCACTCACTCTGCCCCCCCCCCCAGCACTCACTCTGCCCCCCCCCCCAGCACTCACACTGCCCCCTCCCCCCCCACTCACACTGCCCCCCCACCCCCCCCCTCACACTGCCCCCCCACCCCCAGACCCTCACAGTGACCCCCCCCCACCCCTCACACTGCCCCCCCCCCCCAGCACTCACTCTGCCCCCCCCCCCCCCCCCCAGACCCTCACAGTGACCCCCTCCCCACCCCACCCCTCACTCTGACCCCCCCTCCCGCAGGCCTCGCGCTCTCTTACCGCCCTCTGCCCGCGCTCTGCTCTCCCTCTCGGCGTCTGTCCGCCTCTTCCCCCCGACCTCAGGGTCCGTGTGTGTGAGGGTCTGTGTGTGGGTGTGTGTGAGGGTCTGTGTGTGGGTGTGTGTGAGGGTCTGTGTCAGTGTCTCGTCTGTAACTCCAATCTCCCGCCAAACAGCAGAGCCCCTCCTCCTGACCCCATCACTGTCCTTCCTGTCCCTCCCCCTGACCCCTCCCCCCCTCCCCCCTCCCCCTGGCCAGGAACACAGCAGAGAGTGGGGGGTGAGTGTGGGGGGATTAGTGGGGGGGGGGTGTGAGTGTGGGGGGTAGGGGGGGTGGATAAACTTCCACTTTGCGCCGCACGTTAACATATCGATCCGTGAAAGCAACACAAAAAAAAACCCCCAATCGGTGCATCAAAAGGCAATTTATTTAAACCAGACGACAAGACGGGTGTTCCACGCGGCCAACGGAAACTTCCGTGTCAGTGCGCGCACTCCCCTCTCCCCCTCTGCAGGTCGTCCCGGAAAGTATTAGGGCGCAGGTTGGCGGGAGCCAAGGCTTGCGGACCCGAGAGAGAGAGAGAGAGAGAGAGAGAGAGAGCGATCGCACGGAGCGGTCTCACCAGCTTACGCCGCCAAGATTTCCATTGCGACCCCTGCCTGAGAAAGGTCCCCGCCGGCTGTCCGGCCAGGACCACCCCTCGCGGGGAGAGCTTTAGGCCTCGCGTGGCCAACAGGAGCCGAGGGACTGTGACTGGTCTGTCCCTCCCAAGTCCTGCCGACGGGGCCTGGGAACCACCGCCACGACATCGATTGGGATATTCCGATGCCGGGCACGTCACCGTGAAGCCCACTGAGGCCCAGGAAACTCGCCCCGTTTTAACCCTTCACCGAAAAGAACAAGAGTGATAATCCTTGCGTTTGGCGTCATAACCTTTTCTCGCCTTCTAGACGCCTTCTAGACCTCTTCACGTCTTCTCGACGTCTCAAAGCGCTTCACAGAACGCATTGTAAAGCGAATTGACTGCGTATTTTGTGGGCAAAACTATGAGGGATAGTGATTATACCTATATACTTAAAGGACTACAGCCAAATGCTAAGTATATTTTCTCTTTCAGATGCTGATTAACCTGCTGCGGATTTCCAACCTTCACTTATTTCTTCCAGAGACCAGTCCTTTTCCTCCCCCCCCAAAAAAAGTAGTCGTCACATTTTATTTTTGAACCCGCCCCCGCTTCAATTTCAGATACCTTTCTTCAGTGCAACTTTAAACAACAATATGTAAGTCGCAGTCTAATTGCTCATTTGTTAAGAAGTTTCGCGAAAGCTCCTGAGAAAATATATACAAATCAACATTTTTGGTTACACAAGCATCGACCAATATGCCCATCAATAACGTATCAATAAAAACATATTTTGAGAGAGTAAGACACGCTCTTCTTGCAAAGCCCTTGGCCTTTCCGAAAACATCCACCATCCCAGTCACTTCTCCAGAACGCTTCTCAATATTGTTAAGAGGTGACCAGGCTATGCCATGCGTTCCCTTCCTCCTTTATAATATAATAATCCTTGCTTTTGAGAAAGCGCCTTATCACGTCACTGAGATGTCTCAAAGCGCTTCACTCGGATATACTGTGAAGCGATTGTGTGTTTTGTGGGCGGAACGCAGCAGCCAATTGTGCACAGCGGTGCCCTGCAAACAGTTATGGATTGAGTGACTGAGTGAGTGACCAATTTTCTTTTTAAAAAGAGTGGGGATTAATACCCTGGAAAAGCAATCCTCCAATCGACTAACAACTGGGTTCTTACTTACTGCTAGATGAAGAGTAAGGAAAGTAAGGCAACTTGCCCAATGTTTCACCCTGCCCCGGAATGGACCCCGGGACCTCTCGCTTGCGAGGCGAGTGGTCTAACCACACTACAGTAGTCCACTGCTGTAATTTTACACCTGAAGTGGTATAAGTGATATTGGGACTTTTTTTTNGCCTGTAATAGATTATACTGACATAACCAAAAACACTTTTCTTCTGATGAAGGTTTGCAAAAATGCCTTTTTTTGAAAGTACGTGGCCCTTTGGCTAGAAGAAACATGGCAACTTATCCAGGGTGTTTCAGCAAGAGTCATTCGTCTGAACTGGACTTTTGTGGTGGGGGGCGGAATTTTCAGCTTAAATTATGTTTTAAATACTGAAAACAAACTCACGGCACATTCTTAAATTCCTAAATTCACAATGAGAGCGGTATAATATTGCGACGTTCCCTTTGACGCAGCTGTGCAGGTGAATATTTTGTTCAGAAGCTTAAAGCAAAGGGAGGGAAAAAATCTCTCACTAATTGCAAATATTAAGCATAAATTTTGACTTAGTTCCTGCTTCTTTCAATTAGGAGCAGCACCACCGGCAAAACCATATCCCTTCGGATCGACAGTCCTCACGAGAGGTGAAAAAAGTTTAAATTATACTGCGATTGAAAATAATAATCCTTGCATTTGATAGAGCAACTTATCACATCTTATACTGTAAAGTGAATTGACTGTATTTGTGGGAGAGACGTGGCAACCAATTACACACAGCAGCGTCCCACAGTCGATTGATGAATATTTTTTTATATCATGCCATGCGAATAACTTCTCCCCTACATTATTAATTTTTAACAAAGATGGTAAGACAGCCAGGTCAGTTTCCTGTTGCACTAATTGAGACTTTGAATCCCAGATTGCTAGTAAATTCTCGTTAAATATTGCGGCGGCGGGGGGGGGGAAAAACACTGCCAAAACCCATTTAACAACCGACTTTTCCAACATTTTGGCAGTTTTTGTTGGGCGGGTTGCGGGGGGGGGGGGGGGGGGAGGCAAAGAGCAAGAAAATCGCAGCCCGCGATCTCAATATCCGTCCAATACCGCCTTTTCGGTCCCACTGTGGAATAGTAAATATTCTAATAAAAATATTCAACTCTTAATTGTTATTTGAAAATCAATTGCACAAAACAAACAGTTAGAGCGGCTACTCCATTCCCAACCTCCACAAGCAAGAGAAAGGTAAGGCAAGCTGACAACATTTTTGCTTAGCCTCAAAAGATATTTAAGTGGTTATAGATTGACTGAGTGCCTATAAGATGCAGTCCATCACATGTATTTGGAGGGAGTCAATGTCAGGCAGCACCCTGCCACACTTTGGGCAGGCATGTTCTGGAAGGTTTTCAAAATCTGCAAACAGAATTGTAGTTGTTAACTCAAGGCGATAAGATAGCGCACGGATAGGAAAAAGGTTTTGCATTGTGAAAAAGCGCTACAAGCACAAGTGCTTCTTCCACTCTGGGATAGTTCCGGAGAGCGGGACAAAAAGGCCGAAAGCCTGCCCGCCGATGGTGCAGGGTGGATAAGGTTGGATTACAAGGCAGCCTGTTTTGTGAGGACCTACGCTTCTTACCTCCTGTCACGTTGACTTGTAGCGGCTCTACATTAATCGGACCAGAGTCTAGATTTCCATGGCGACGCTGCAGCTCAACCAAAGACTGTCTGAAAATTCAGGGGACATGTGTCAGGAAGTGCAGGAGACGAAGGATTGTGGGATAGCCCACATACTTAGGAATAAGGCAAGAGTATAGTTTACTTTTAACACGGAAGTCCACGGGAGGATTTCTGTTCATGATGTGCATCATTACAATGCAAAGGCTAACAATAATATTACTTGCAGTTGATATATAGCGCCTTATCACGTTGAAATGTCTCAAAGCACTTCATGGAATATATTGTAAAGTGGATTGATTGTGTATTTTGAAGGCAAAACGCAGCTGCCAATTGCACACAGCAGTGTCTTACAAACAGTCGTGGATTGAGTGACCCAAATTATTACTATTATTATTATTTGGAGGGATTATTATCCTTGGGAAGCAATTCGCCAATTGACTAACAACCAGGTTCCTACTTCCTGCTGGGTTACAGAGGCGTGTGGAGTAAGGAAACTTGCCTAAGGTTTTGCCCTGCCCGGGTCCTCTCATTTGTGAGGCAAGTGCTCTCACCAATACGCTATTAGTACCTGCCAAGTGTTTCCAGATCTTCTTTCAGTTTGCTATTTTCTTTCACTAGAAGATCCAGTTTTAAGGACATCCTATCCCTCTCCTCGTGCATAGCCTCTCGAGCGGCTCGTTCAGCGTGGAAATCCGCACAGTAAACATCTGCCTACGGAAGGGTTGTGTGGCAGCACCGTTAAAATACAATTCATACAATTTGCATTTATATAATAATAGTATTTGATATAGCGCCTTATCACGTCGTTGAGACGTCTCAAAGCTCCTAGCGGGTTATACTGTAAAGTGGATTTTGTGACGAAAATAATGGATTGTGTAATGAAACATATAGATAGCGTCGTTCACTTCAGGAGAGTGTCTCAGAGCGCATTACCGTTCATCATAAGGGAAGCAATCCTTGCATTGATAACTGATGGTAAAATATCGGTTGGATACTGATACATACAGGGTGACTCCATTATCACGAGACAGCAAATTCATTTTTGAAACAGATGTACTGTTGATCTGCAAAGTGTTTCACGAATGTCATGGATTATATCGGGGTGGGGAGGGGATGGGGCTGGTCAGCCAGGACACAGAGAGAAACTCCCTTCTCTCTTTTGAATGGTGCTGTGGGATAATAATACTAATTCTCGCATTATGATTTACAACAACAAAATTATATTTGTAAAGCACCTTTCACGTTGGGAGGACGTCCCAAGACGCTGAACAATTGTGGATCAGTAGCACCTTATGACGTAGTTGAGACGTCTTAAAGCGCTTCACAGAATATATTGTAAAGTGGATTGACTGTGTAATTTGATCTTTAACAGCAACCAACAGGACCTCGGTTTAACATTTCACCACCAGCGCTGCAATGTCTATTTTTCTATCTTTGTCTATTACAAATGGATTACACTCCCTTCTCACCTGCAGGCAACAGATTCTCCATTGCTGGAAACGGAAAGCTATGATATTTTACCTGTGCTTTAAACACTGCCACTGTTTCCAGTTCCTCCTTGTGCTCTCGTATGATCCGCGCCATCCTGTCAATCGCTTCCTGCTTTTGCACCAGCGCTTTCTCAGTCGCTTCTAACTGAGCCGAGAGGTCGTGCAGTTCGGTTTTACTGGAGCTCTGATTGGTAAAAGCAAGAGAAGCTACATTATTATACCTGAAGGCACTAAGGGGTTTAAAGACATATTCTGACAAACAAAAAAACAAACCCTGTTGGTGTTAACAGCAAATAACAATAAACCTTGCATTTGATACAGTGCCTTATCATGTCGTTGAGACGTCTCAAAGCACTTCACAGAATATACTGTAAAGTGAATTGTGTATTTTGTGGGCGAAACAAGGCAGCCAATTGCACCCACAGCGTCCCCACAAACAGTTTATTGAATGGCCAACTTTGTTTTCAAAAAAGGGATTCACAAATCGACTAACAACCAGTTTCCTACTTACTGCTAGGTAAACAGGTGTGTGGTGTGGATGTGCCAAAGCACTGAACTTTTGTGGCCTTATCATGGACAATTGCTTCAAATTACAGGTTGACTGACAACCGGGTTCCTACTTACTGCAAGGTAAACAGAGGTGTGTATGGAGTAAGGAAACTTGACTAAGATTTCGCCCTGGGTTTTCTCGCTTGCGAGGCAAGAGCCTTACCACTACGCTACAGGACTCTATAGGACTACAGGACGGTATATTCGTAAGGTCACCTTAAAAGTATGTAATTGTTTATTTTTTGCACAGATCTGAAGAATTGAAAAGATTATCTGACCTGAACCTTCTTTAACCCTTCATTTTGTTGTACCAGAGTCTGTGTCATGTGGGACATTGTCTGTTGATTGGCTTGCATTGTTTTTTTAGCCACATCCAGCTCAATGTTGAGATCATCCAGCGTCTGCGACCGTTTGCTCTGTCAAAATAAACACATCCAAAGAAATTTATTACTAATAATAGTAATCCTTGCATTTAATATAGCACTTTATCAAGTCTCAAAGCGCTTCACAGAACATACTGTAAAGTGAATTACCTGTATATTTCTTTGGGCGAAACGCGGCAACCTATTGCGCACAGCAGAGTCCCACAAACAGTTGTGAATTGAGTGACCAAATTATTATTATTATATATTTTTTGAAGGATTAACCTCTGAAAAGCGATCCTCCAATTGACCAACAACCGGGCTCTTACTTACTGCTAGGTAAACAGAGGCGTATGGAGTAAGGAAACTTGCTGAATGTTTTGCCCCGCCCGGGAAATCAAATCCGGGTCCTCTCGCTTGCTAGGCAAGGTACTCTGACCAACATGCTGCAGGACTCCACAATGATTGCTGCAACACTCCCTCCCATTCCCACCCAAAAGCACTCTGATATTTCCCAATGTTGAACATACTTCTTTGGCTTTCAATTCTTCATTAACCTTCACAATCTCTTTGTAATCATTGAACAATTGGTCGTAGGCAGCTTGCATCTGCACCAGTTTCCTCCTGTGGTTTAACAAAAAAAGGAAAATGTTTAAAAGTGTCTGTCACCCTTTGGGAATCTTGTATTATATATATAATAGAAACACTTTACCAAATCAAAGGAAATGTACATTATTTAGTTCAGTGCCACAAACCAGAGCTCTAATAATAATAATCCTTGCATTTCATATGGTGCCTTTTCACGTCTTCGAGATGTCTCAAAGCGCTTCACAGAATATACTGTGAAGTGAATTGACTGTATATTTTGTAGGCGAAGCACGGCAGCCAATTGCACACGGAACAGAGCATTAGTTTTCGAAATACAAAAGATTCAGGGCTACTTTACAACAAATAACATTTGTAGTGCGCCTTTCACGTCGGTGGTTCCTACTTACTGCAAGGTAAACAGAGATGTGTATGGAGTAAGGAAACTTGCCTAAGATTTCGCCCCCGCCAGGAAACAAACCCAGGTTTGTCCAAGAATCGAAACCAGGTCCTCTTGCTTGCAAGGCGAGTGCTTTAACCAATACTCTACAGGACTCCAACACACAGAAACTGATGCCAATGAAGACCCAGAAATGCTGACTTAAGGCCATTTTGTTTAGTGTGCCCTATTAAAACTCAGGGTCTGAAAGTATGGACCCAGAACACGAGTTGTAACCTGGACGGCCTGTAACAATTAATGATGATTTAAAATTCTTTTTGACCTTCTACTGCAGGTTTGTAACAGAGTAAAACGTGCAGGAACACTTACTTTTCGTCTGCTAATTTCATCTGCTCCATCTTTTGTTCAGATTGCAAGCTCTCCACTTGCAACTGCAGCTTTTCATTGGAAAATTTAACTTGTCTCATCTCATCCATGTCCACCTGGCTACAAGACAGCTTTTGCTCCTGAACCTGAATTCTAAAAGAGAACAAATGATAGATGCATCGCAATAACAATAAATAAAATAATAAGAACATTTGATAAAGCGCCTTTCACGTCGAGGTTTTCTCAAATTCTTTACATGATTTACTGTAAAGTGTAGTGACTGTATATTTTGTAGGCAAAGCATAGTTAAGCAAAGTATCAAAATAGTTAGAGAAATAGCTTGCACATTTATAGTGTCTAATCCTGACAAAATGTCTCAAAGCACTTCACAATTTCTGCCAAGTGTAGTGATTATTTCTAGGCACTGATGGCCTTGGAGTGTGATGGAAATTTAATTTAAGGATGATAATACTAACATTTGGTACAGTGGTATACATTTTGCATATATTATATTTTTAATAATAAAAAAGTGGTCATTAATCCATGACTGTTTGTGGGACGCTGCCGTGCGCAATTGACTGCCGCATTTCACCCACTAAATACAGTCTCTTTACAGTATATTCCTCGAAATGCTTTGAGGTGCCTTGAAGACATGATGAGGTGCTATATCAAATGTAAGGATTAGTATTATATTATAGCACAGAAACTGCTCACGCCCCACAACCTTTAATATTCCTCCTCTGCAATCATTGTGAAAAGGAATTTGCTGACTCTGCTTCAACTGCAGATTGTGATAGAGAATTCCACATTCCCACAACCCTCTGTGTAAGGAATGCTTCTTTTTCTAACCTCCCTTTAATTCACCCACAAAAATATAGTCAGTTCACTTTAGTATATTCCGTGAAACACTTTGAGACGTCTCGAAGACGTGATAAGGCACTACATCAAATCAAAGGATTATTTTATTATTATAATTGCTTCTTTGATCATCTAAAACTTGTAAGTAACTCACTGAGCCCTGGAAACTCCCGTATAATTTCTTATACAAACCCTCTTGCTCACGATCAACATACGCAGACACCAATGTGTGTGGGAGGACTTTATATAGATTGCCAATGCGAATAAAAACTGCTCAACCAGTGAAACAAGAATGACAATAAGTTGTATTTATACAGCATCCTTCACATCATGGGAACATTGTCGAGGCTGTTTTTAGGACGATGATGTGCACAAATTTGCTGCTGCTTTCGCCTACAAAATACACAGTCACTACACTCTACAGTCTATACTGTGAAGTGCTTTAAGACATCCAGCAATTGGGAAAAGGTGCTATCAAATGTAAGGGTTATTGTTATCTTTTATATAAAGTAAATAACTATTTTTTGTTTGAATTAGGACGAGAATGCCAATCAAAAGACAAGATCCTCTCATTGGGCGCTTCAAAAGAGTATCTGGTTTCTGACTGTTGATATTGTATTGATCCAAGTAATTTTTGCCCACAAAATAGTCAATTATCTTTACAATATATTCTGTGAAGCATTTTGAGACGTCTCAATGACGTGATAAGGTGCTACATCAAATGCAAATATGATTATAATTCTTTTTAAATGATCCTCTTTGCAATGCCTTTAATGATCTTTCTAAGAATAATGATAAGCTGCGCATTGCTTACCTTTCTTGAAGAGACTTTTTTAGCTGCTCAGCTTCGTCCACTTTTTTCTGGGCCTCTTGCAAGTCTTGGACTAAGGAGGTTACTTGCGACTTCAATACCTCAACTTCATTCGGACATTGCTGAGCAAGACAAGTTGGCACCACATAAACCTAATGGTTGGCTTTCTATCAGAGCAATAAAAGTTGCAATATACTGCTGCGTGCATTTAAATTACACTGAGAAGGGTTGCAATCATTTAATTAAACAATGAGTAATGGGTTAGTTATTAGACTCTGGCACAGAAGGTTAAATCCTCCAAATAGATTGATCGTTTTGTGGAACCCTGCTGTGCACAAACATTGGTTGCCACATTTGTGTACAAACAGATAGGGCAGCAATTATGAGTGGAATGCTTTTGGGCATTGACATTATAAGCACTATATTAAATGAAAGGATTATTATCATTAATGGTTCTGTGGGAATGTGTTGCAGTGAACTAATTCCACTTACAGATGATTTTCAGGAGCGAGGAGACGGGAGAAACAAAAAGTTGAAGCCATTTTCCTCAAACCAACTGGGAACAGGGAAACAAAGTGACCAATCTTAATTTGGAAGTTAGTTTAAATTGTGAAAATTGGCTTCAAAACAAAGTGAATGTAAGCATTTTCCACAACTCTGTGTGAACTTCAACTCTAACTCAGCAACAACAAATCACATTTGTACGGCGCCTTTCAAGTCGGAAGGACTTCCCAAAGTGCTGGACAGTCAGGGATTTGGACCCGAGCAGGAGGTTGGGTTCACGAGGGGTGGAGGGCAAGGGTAGGAGGGTGATCGAAGGTACGGTTGAAGAGGAGGGTCTTGAAGCAGGCAAGGGAGGGAGCAAGGTGAAGGAAATGTGGGATGGAGTTCCAGTGGGTGGGTCCAGAGAGACTGAAGGCCCGACCACCGTTGGTCTGGGTGTAATTTCAAGCCTTGTAAGTTTTACAAACTTCAAAAACTAACACAATGAAATAAATCACTTAGTTGTTGGGAGTACTCACTTCTTGTACTAAAGCAACCATAGTCGTCACATCAGGCTCTACCCTGCTATTCTCTGGTAAGCTCTCAGATGCAGGTTCCAGTCTTGTATCAGACGCACATTGTTCTTCTGCAATCAGCTCAGTCTGTGCCTCAAAGTCGGTCGATGTAACACCCTTTTCAAGTTTGGACAGTCTAAGAAATATTAATAACAATAATAATGCTTGCATTTGATACAGCACCTTATCATGTTGTTGAGACGGCTCAAAGTGCTTCACAGAATACACTGTAAAGTGTATTTGGGAACGAAAGTGGCAGGCAATTGAGCAAAGCAGTGTCCCACAAACAGTCATGGATTGAATGACCACAATTTTTTGAGGGATTACCACCACTGGAAAGTGATTTACCAATTGATTAACAACCGGGTTCCTACTTACTGCTAGGTGAACAGAGGAGTGTGGTGTAAAGAAACCTGCCGTAAGGTTTTGCCTGCCATAATAACAGTTGGAGGATTGTTTTAGTCTATATTTAGGGGAAATGAGTATTCTTTTGAACACAAGGGATTCATTATTTGCTTTATGACTGGACTGAGAAAGAAACCAAGAGCTGAAGCCCTTCGGCTTACTTGCTCCTCAGTTATGCCTATGCTGCTCTGAAGCTTTACCTTTGCTTTGCTGAGCGAAGCTCATGTTCAAGTTTCTCCACCTTCAAGGTCTCGTCCCGGAGCATGCGAAGCAGCTGGCTGATGGTGAGCTCTTCTGACATCTGACGTTTGACAGTTCCATCACGTTTCTGTCTGCTGTTCAGTGAATGGCCAAAGATTATTAACCTTGTGAATATATAACTGAGAACCAAATATAAAATATAGATGCAACAGCATGGTATGGAACACAAAAATGGATTTTCACCTCATGAACCACAACAATGACTTACAGTTATGTAGCATCCTTCATGCAGAATAACATATTGATGCGCTTCACAAAAGACAGGGTTGGATGCCAACCAAGCAAAGGAAAAAGGGGAGGGGAAAAAGAGAGCGCCGATGATCATAGATCAAAGAGGCTGCTTTTTAGGCTGGATTTAAAGACCGATCTGAGAGGGGGTGAGAGGGAGGGAGCGTAGGAACATAGCTGCCAAAGGCTTACTCTGCAAAGAATGTGTATCAGGCCAGAGTTAGCCTCGTGGAAGGCAGGAGCAGAAGAGTAGGGTAGGGCACAATCACAGATAGGCAGGTGCTAGGACATGAAGGAATTTATAACAATAACAACAACTTAGATTTATATAGCGCCCTACACGCCGAACGGAGAGCGCTTCAAAGGCGAGTCTGCACTCTACATCACTTATTTATTCACGTGGGGGAAATAAAACTTACTGAATGATAAAGCTTTCTAATCCCAAGCTTTGACAGTGCTCTCAATCTAAAATTGAAAGTTACATTATTCAAGCTTGACCACCTGTATTTCGCAGTTGATACTTGTCATTGTTTTCCGTAGTGTTTGATTATCTATGAGTTACACTTAGCACTAAAACCTTCAATTCCATTCTTAAGATGGTATTCGTCCAGCTCTTTAGTTTTGTAAGAGGTGTATAACATAGCATTAACTGCTTTTGCTGGGAGTCTATTCCATACATCCAATTGATACTATAATAATAAATATCCTTTCATTTAAGATAGCACCTTATGTCGTCAAGATGTCTCAAAGTGCTTCACAAGTTTTTACTGTGAAGTGTAGTGACCAGCTACTTGTAGACGAAGCATTTTTACAATGTTTTGTTGATGTTTTGCTCTCAAAACACACAATCAATCTACTTTACAATATATTCTGTGAAGCGCTTTGAGACATCTCAGTGATAAGGTGCTGTATCAATAAATCTTCACTTAGAAGAATATGGGTTAATTAGGGACAGCCGTACGGATTTGTTAAAAGCAGATCTTATCTAACAAATCTAATAGAATTGTTCGATGAGGTAACGGAGAGGGTGGATAAAGGTAGTGCAGTTGATGTAGTTTAGATGGATTTTCAAAAGGCATTTGACAAAGTGCCACATGAAAGACTTGTTAGAAAGATAGAAGCCAATGGTGTAAAAGGGACAGTGGCAGCGGATCCAGAACTGGGGGCTGGGAGACAGAAAGCAGAGAGTTGTGGTGAACGGCTGCTTTTCTGACTGGAGGGAAGTGTACAGTGGCGTTCTCCAGGGATCGGTATTCGGACCACTGTTCTTCTTAATATACATAAATGATCTGGACTTGGGAATAGCAAACACCATTTCCAAGTTTGCGGACGACACAAAGTTAGGTACGGTGGGAAACAGTGAGAAGGATAGCAGCCGACTGCAGGAAGACATAGACAGATGGTAAAATGGGCGACACATGGCAGATGAGTTTCAATGTGGAGAAATGCGAAGTAATGCATTTTGGTAGAAAGAATGAGGGGCAATATAGGCGGTAATACAATCATAAGGGGGGTAAAAAAACAGAGGGACCTGGGGGGGGCAGGTAAATGAATCCTTGAAGGTGGCAGGACAGGAAGATAAAGCTGTAAAAAAGGCATATGGGATACTGGGCTTTATAAATAGGGCACAGAGTACAAGAGTCAGGAGGTGATGATTAACTGATATAAAACACTGGTTAGGCCTCAGTTAGAATACTGCCCCAGTTCTGGGCACCGCACTATAGGAAGGATGTTAAGGCATTGGAAAGGGCGCAGAGGGGATTTACGAGGATGGAACCAGGAACGAGGGACCGTGATGATGAGGAAAGGCTGGAGAGGCCGGGATTATTCTCATCGGAGCAGAGAAGGTTACGAGGACCTCATAGAGGTCTTTAAAATCATGAGGAGATTTGTTAGGTTAGAAAGGGAAAAACTGTGTGTCGGTGACTCGAGGTCACAGATTCAAAATAGTCTCTAAAAGAAGCCGAGGGGAGGTGAGGAGAAATGTCTTCACACAGCGAGTTGTTGGAATCTGGAACGCATCGCCTGAAAGGGCGGTCGAGGCCGATTCGATATCTACTTTTAAAAACGCGGTGGACGGGTATTTGAGGAGGACGGGTTTGTAGGGTTATGGGGAAAGGGCCGGGGAGTGGGATTGACATTACATTGCTCTTTTCAAAGAGCTGCACAGACTCGATGGGCCGAATTACCTCTTTTTGTGCTGTACGATTGTATGAAATGTCAGGATAATTAATATTACCATTACGTTTCAAAGCACAATACAATAAATACTGTCAAGGGTAGCGACTTTTATTTTTGCAAGCAGTCTTTGTTAAATTGTCCAAACTCCCCACTCCCCATACATTACAAAGAACTCATTCACTTACATATGAGCTGCTTGGCTGTGTGTCCCCTTGCATTGTAATTCCTTGGTTACCGTCAATTCTCCATTCTCATCGATAGCCTCCTGGAGAATTGAGTAATTCAGTAGGACAATGAGAAATTACATCCAAACAATACAGCTGCGTATACTCTAAAAAGTACCAATAATAATATTCCTTGTCTTTAATATAGTGCCTTAACTATATTAACCCTCCTTAGCCTCCTTCAAGTCCCGCCTCAAGACCCTTCTCTGCGACCATGCCACCGGTTTCCCCCTTCCCCTACCCACACACCCCCTGGCTCTCCCCCGAGTCCTCCGCTCCACCCTCCTCAGCCATGCCTTCAGCCACTATGCCCCGAGGCTCTGGAATTCCCTTCCTCACTCCCTTCGGCTCGCTCCCTTCCTATTTTCAGGTCTCTGCTGAAGACCTTTCTTTCCGACTACGCCTTTGGTCACCCTCCCCCCCCACTCCCCCTGGCTCGGTCCCGGGATCCGTTACTGTGAAGCGCTCTGAGACGCCGTCCGGCGTGGAGGGCGCCATATAAATCCAAGTTGTTGTTGTTGATGAAATATGTACTCTGTCCAGCGCTTTGGACAATCGTGGATTAAGTGACAACTTTTTTTTGTGTGAGGTATTAGCAGCCCTGGAAAGCGATCCGCCAATCGACTAAACTTTGTAGCCCACCTTCTCAGGGCAACTAGGGATGTGCGATAAATACTGTGCAGCACCCAGAATGATTTAGAATAATAATCCTTGCATTTGATACATTGCCTTATCACATCTTCGAGACGTCTGAAAGCGCTTCACAGAATATTCTGTAAAATGAATCGACTGTATATTTTGTGGGCAAATACGGCAGCCAATTGCGCACAGCAGTAGATCCAAATTATTATTATTATTATTTTTGAAGGGATTATTATCCCTAGAAAAACGATCCACTTAACGACTAACAACCGAATTCCCATTTACTGCTAGGTAAACAAAGACCTGTGTGTGGAGTAAGGAGACTTGCATATGGTTTCACCCTGCTCAGGAATCAAACCCAGGTCCTCTCGCTTGCGAGGCGAGTACTCTAACCAGTAAGCTACAAGGATCTACATTTATAACGCAATGTACTGCCGATGTTTTGTTCAGTTTCTATTTTAAGGTCGGCGCCAAGAGATCTAATCCTTTTTTAGTTTGGCCCTTTGCAAACTTACCGACAACCCAATTTCAACAAAAGAATCATCCGGCGAGACAGCGCCTGCCTTCAGCAGCAGCTCGGAATTCATGGCCACCAAATCGGCTTTCTCCAACTGCAGCCTGCTGACCAAGGCTTTCATCTGCTCAAACTCCTGCTCTTTCGCCTCACAGTTGGTGTGCGCTCCTTTAACCAGCAAAGCATCTCCAGATAAGCCCTGCCAGTAGAAGCCAAATTCACAATACTTTAAAAAGGAGGAAACGTTTGATAGAAATATATATTAAAGGGTATGGGGTGGGGGCGTGAGGGAAAGGGAAATAAATGTTCTTTCAAAGACGGCACAGAAATAATGGGCTGAATGCCTTCCTTTACAATAATAATCCTTGCATTTGATATAGCGCCTTATCACACTGTTGGGATGTCTCAAAGTACTTCACAGAATATGTTGTAAAATGAATGGACTTTTGCATTTGTGTGGGCGAAACACAGCAGCCAATTGCACACAGAATGCTGCAAAATTCTATGATTCTAAATAAGGTCCCATTAGCCTACAAAATACACAGTCAATGCACTTACAATATATTCTGTGAAGCGTTTTGAGATGTCTCAATGACGTGATAGGGCGCTATATAAAATGTATCTATTATTATTACCTGCGAACCATCCGGTTTCTGCTGTTGAATCTTGCTTTTCAAGGTTTCATTCTCCGCAGTAAGGTCTGCCAGCCGTTTTTTGGCTTCTTCGAATTTTTTTTGAATGTACTCCCGCTCCTCTCTCTGCTTCTCCCGCCAGGTCGCAAGCTCTTCATAGCGTTCCTTCATGGCATGGTTGGTTTGCTTGATGGCTTCTGCAAAAAAGACCCCCAAAAAAGCCTATAATTAAATAATTTTAATAAATATATAATATAGTCTCAAGACCCTTCACTTCGACTGTGCCTTCGGTCGCCCTCCCACCCCTACCCTCCAATCCTCCTGATTCCAACCCCCCTAGAACCTCGGATCCAAATCCCTGACTGTCCAGCATCTTGGGATGGCCTCCCGATGTGAAAGGCGCTATGTAAATGTAATTTGTTGTTGTTAATTCTGCACAAGCCCAAAGCTATTACTTTTAATTTCAATTTTAGCAAAATATGCCTTTTAAACTTTAAAGCTAGTTTAAAAAAGCACTTTTCTGAAGATTTATTTTAAATTAAAATCATACATTGTGCACTACAATGTTGTAATTTACCTTTCAGCTCATTGTTCTCCTTAATCAGTTCTTGCATTTGTTGCAAGGCTTCTTCTGGGGCAAACAAACCACCTGGTTGGGATCCATTAATGTTCATGGCAGTATCATTCATGGTGTGATTCAATTTCTCCACACTCGGATTACTTATTGAAGTGTTTCGTTGACATCAATGACGCTGCTCATTCTGAAAAAAAACCACAGGTGCAAAATATGTTGATTCAGTACAAGAATTTCCTAGTATTTGTTTTATTATATGCTTACTTTAACCATTGTGTGAAGGGGGGGAGGGGAGAAGGGTAAAATAAGAACACAGCTCAAGAGAGAATTATTTCAGGCAGAAGGATGACCTTTTATAAGGGTGTACTCCACACGCCTATTTCTGTTTACCAGCAGTAAGTAGGAACCCGGCTGTTAGTCGATTGGGAGTAATATTCGAGCTTCACCCACAAAATACACATATTCTGTGAAGCATCTCAACGACGTGACAAGGTGGCGATATCAAATGCTGGGATTATTAATATTATTATATTAAAGAGAGAAGGGGGTTGAGAGAGAGAAAAAAGAACGCAGCTCAAGAGTGAGTCATTTCAGAAAGAGGATGACCTTTCGTAACCCACACACCCTCAGCAACACGGGTCTAAATAGAAAGAGAAAGGAGAAACAAAATTTTGCAGAGTTTCAGTATCACTTTCTCTTTCGCTGTTAATTTCCTTTCCCAATATATATAGCAAATGTGGAATTTTGATAAATAGTAGTACGTTCTGCCTGGGTAGCCAGTCTCAAGGTCTAGTAGATTACGCAAACTCTGAAGATTCTGACTCTGAATCAGTAGAAGTGCCGGAGTTTAATATTCACAGCCAAGAAGCCAATCCAGTTAATAACAGTCAGATAACTAAACTAGCTAGTGTCAATATAATAAAAGATTCAGAAAAAATTAAGCGCCATCCTGATACAAGAGGTCCTGGCAATTTAAGTTTACTGTGGTGAAAAAGACACAAAACATGCGCGCATCCTCGGGGACAGTGTTTAACACATCAGTTACACGTTTGATTGAATTGAAGAAAACTATTGCCAGGTTACAGGGAAGAAATCTTTTTCCTTATAATGCAATAGCATTACCAAGACTGCTGTTTCAAATTGAAACACTCAGTGGCACTTCACTACGTGAATAAATCGGAATAACTGTGTCAATCGTGGAACTGTGGGCTCCATAGTCATATGACTTACTGCGTAAAACAAAATCCAGTGTTCATCATTTTTTTCCCTCTTTGTTAATGTGAGTTTTTACCACTAATAATATTATTATTAATAATACTAATAATGATAATAATCCCTCAAGAAAAAAACAATGATAAATCGGTCACTTCAATCCACGGCTGTTTGTGGGACATTGCTGTGCGCAATTGGCCGCCGCGTTTCGCCCACAAATATACAGTCAATTCACTTTACAGTGTGTTCTGTGAAGCGCTTTGGGACGTCCTCCCGACGTGGAAAGCGCTATATCGAATGCAAAGATAATAATAATATATATATATACGTAAATTGTTAGAGGAAAAAACCCCACAAGCAGTGGAAGTGTATGATGTGTGTGTGTGTGTGTGTGTACTTAAAAGGCCGTGAACCTCCTCTTAGATGTATTTGTATCGGATTATATAAACCCAGACTGAAGCAGTGAGAGAAAAAGAGAGAGAGGATAAGAGAGAGAAGGGGGTGGGGGTGTGTGTGAGAGAGAGAGAGAGAGAGGGTTGAGAGAGATAAAAGAAAGAGAAGAAGAGATTATTATAATTATAAACACAAGACAGACGAGAGGATGAGACGGAGGGGGGGGGGGGTTGGAGGGGAGAAAGGAGAGGTGAAGGGGGTGAGAGAAAAAGAGGGGATGTGAGAGAGAGAGAGAGAGAGAGAGATTTAAAAGGAAGAGAAAGAATGAAGGGGAAATTATCATTATTACAATTATAAACACAGACCGGGGGGGGAGAGGATGACATGGGAGGGGGGGAGGAGGGGGGGGAGAAAAGAGAGAAGGGGTGTGTGTGAGAGAGAGAGAGAGAGAGTGAGAGTGAGTGAGTGAGTGAGTGAGAGAAAAAAAAACAGTAGAGTGAGTGAGTGAGTGAGTGAGATGACAGGACAGACGGCCTCGGGGCCTCCCTCGAGGCGTCGGCTAAATTTTTTTAAAACAACAACAACATACCCGCAGCTCTCCCCCCCACCCACACCCCCCCCCCCGTCCCCCCGCCGGTCTCCCTTCCCTCACGGTGACCGACCATCACCTCAGAGTACCTGTTGCGCCTGAGTTTGTATAACGAAAGCGGCTTTTTTTTTTTCTCTTCACCACTGCCACCGCCACCGCCGGCGGCCGCTTCTCCCCTCTCTCTCTCTCTCTCAACAAAAACCCCCGTCGTCGCGACTGGAAGACACCGCCTCCCGCTCGAGCCCGCGCACGCGCCCCGGGAACCGCCTCGCTCGCGCCTGCGCGGACCGACCCCCCCCTCTCCCCCACTCACGCACCCAACCAACCGCCGCGCTCGCGCCCGCCCCCCGCGCCTGCGCGGATCGAGACCGCCTCGCGCGCGCCCTCGCCCGCCCGCCCGACCGCCCCGCCCCCGCGCCTGCGCAGTGTGAGGGCTCCTCCCCCTTTCTCCCCCCCTCCACCCGGGGCTTGGCCAACCCGCCCTCGTCGCGCATGCGCGCCGGCTCCTCCCCTCCCCCCTCCTCCCCCCCACCACCCCGCCTTGACCGGACCCCCCGGATGGTCCCGGCGCCCGGGGTCGGTCAGGCCGGCGACCGCGCCCCTGAGGCCCCCCGCGCGGGGGGGGGGGGGGAGGCTCCTGTCGGGCGGGGCCGGTTGGGTGCGGCCGGCGCCCTCCGTCGTGGGCGGGGCCGGAGCGTAGGTCCCGTAGGGGCAGGAGGAGGCCATTCAGCCCCTCCAGCCCCGCTCCGCCATTCCGCAGGACCGCGGCCGGACGCGCCTCTGCCCCGGTGCCGCCCGCCCGAGACCCCCGACCTCACAAAAAAGAAGCCTCGTGAAAAAATAACGCCCCCCCACCCCCCCCCACCCCCCCCATTGGAGTTCAGTGCAGAGTCAGTGCGACGACCTGATAAGGCGTTATATCAAATGCAAAGATTATTATTATTATTGTTGTTGTTATTATTATTATTATTATTATTATTAGAGAAGCCCTCTTCCGTCTGCCCAGCAGATGGCGCGGTCATACCTCGGATTGAGTCCTCGTTGGCATAAACACCGTGTACAGTCGTTCGGAATATCTATCCCTCCGCTACGTGTGGGTTTTTTTGGGGGCGGAAGGTCTAAAATTTAACCCCCGACGTCAGTATTTTTACCGCCTGCGTTCGGCGTGAATTGTGGTCCTGAGGTTGAGAACGGTTTACAAACGCACGAGGTCCTCCCGAAGTGCAGAAGGGGAGCCTTCCTGCCCCCCATCGTGTCTGTGCGACCGCTTCTCTGTAATGCTAAATCACCTTTTCCTTATTAACTCCATTTTCCGGCTAATTCCCCAGAGCCCCATTTGCCTACAAAACACACAATCACTACAGTTTGTTACCCTGTCAAGCGATTTGAGACGTCCCGCCCCCCACCCCCCCCCAATATGAAAGGCGCTGTATCAGTTGCAAGGATAATTATTATTATCATTACGCTACTTATCCAATTTCCGCTTGAATGATTCTGTTAAATCAGCCTCAAACAGCCACTTGTGATGATGAATGCCAAACCCTAACCGAGTGATGAAGTGCCTTCTAACCTCTTCTTCTGCCATGTTGGAGGAACTGTCTTTCCGGATGAGACATTAAACTCAAGTCAAGTCTGAGCCTTTTCCAGTGGAAGGGATTATTATCCCCGGAAAGCGATCCGGCAATCGACTAACAACGGCAGCCAATCGCGCACAGCAGTGTCCCACAAACAGTCGTGGATTGGGTGACCCAATTTTTTATTACTCCCGGGAAAGTAAGGAAACTTGCCTAAGGTTTCGCGCTGCCCGGGAATCAAACCCGGGTCATCTCGCTTGCGAGGCGAGTGCTCTAACCAATACGATGCAGGACTCTGTGTATATTGATAATAATAATAAAGCAATTAATGTTAATTTAACTCATATTAGTGTTGTTCATGTTACCAATTACTGCTGTGTGAATTTGTCTTTGTTAATATCATAATCATAATAATAATAATCCTTGCATTTGATGTAGCGCTTTTCGCATCTTCTAGACGTCTCAAAGCTCTTCACAGAATAGACTGTAAAGTGAATTGACTATATTTTGTGAGCGAAACGTGGCGGCCAATCGCTGTATAGACAATATCAATAATAATGTAAAGCAATTTACTTTACATCATTCACCTTCGTATTAACGTTAGTGTTACCCATCAGCGCTACGTGAATGTGTGTTTGTTAATCCAGTATATCGATAACATTAATAACGGTGCAAAGTTTCGCATTCCAATTAGAAACATTCCCATGGCTGTGAGAGAGTTAAACACTGCATGGAGCTGACTGCCTGACTGACTGACTGGCTGACTGGTTGGTTCAGAGTAGAATTTCAGGATTGGTCCCTATTCACCACAGGGGAGTGGACAAGCTATGGATCAACTTCATTCAAGATTTTGTGTGTGTTCTTTTTTTTGAAACACACACGCGCGCACACAGACGAGCAGTCACAAACCGTGGCAGTCAGGGACACTGGCTGTTGCTTAAAATTGGGACAACATCCCTCAGTGCCACATGTTTCCTATTTACCTCTCTCTCTCTCTTTCTCTCGACATCTATCTATTTATGATAGGCGACTAAGTTAAGAGACTTTGCGGTTCCAAAAAAAAGTTTGCAGAGTTACTTTGTTGTGGTTTGAAGACATCACGATGGTGTCCCCGTTGCTGATACTCACCCTCCTCGCAGGTTGCGTGTTCAACAGGGCTCGAACATGCCAATTCCCTACCGACTGGAGACCGCTGAGCGAGGGTTGCAGGGCAGAGCTAGCCGAGATCATAGTCTTCGCCAAAGTGCTGGCCATCCACCAGGACATCTATAGCGTCTATAACTACCTGCCCTGGCAATACGAGACAAGCCTCTTCTACTCGGCTGAGGTGGAGATGCTCTGCGACCAGGCTTGGGGAAGCATGTTGGAACTGCCCGCCGGATCCAGGTTCAATCTCACCGGCCTCGGCTACTTCTCCTGTCAGTCCCACACCGTCATGGAGAACAACAGCTATTTCTTATTCCTCAGGTAACAAACAAATAATAATAATAATCCTTATATTTGATACAGTGCCTTATCACCTCTTCGAGATGTCTCAAAACACTTCACAGGATAGACTGTAAAGTGTGTTGACTGTACATTTTGCGGACGGACGAACGAAACATGGCAGCCAATTGCGCACAGCGGTGTCCCACAAACAGTCGTGGATTGAAGTGACCAGATTATTTTTTTTGGAAGGAATTATTACCCCCAGAAAAGCCATCCACCAATCGACTAACAAGCGGGTTCCTACTTACTGCTGGGTAAACAGGCGTATGGAGTAAGGAAACTTGCCCAACACAACACTGATGCTTGGAGAGGGTAGAGGAGGGGAATGAGGACAGCACCCTCAACTGTCCTTCCAAAAACAACAACAACTTGTGTTTACATAGTGCTCATTCACACAGGGTAGCGTCCAAGAGAGCTTGAGAGTGGCGGAGCACGATGCCAAGCGAGGAGGTGGCCGCACTCACGGTCGAAGAGGGAGGTCTTCAGGCGGACCTGAAGATGGGGAAGGAAGGGAACGAGGCAGAGGGATAGAGGGAACGTGTTCCAGAGTTTCGGAGTGTAGTGGCTGAAAGCGTGGCTACCGATGGTGGAACGGAGGGCACGAGGGATAAACAGGAGGCCAGAGCCAGACGATCATCCTCCTATGTGAAACTGGCTCTTTGTATACCATTTAAAGTTTAAATATATATTTATCAATTAAAGTTTATAATATATATTTATCAATTAAAGTTTATAATATTTATTTTAAATATTATTATTATAGGTACCCTGAAGATCTCATGGCACTCTAATAATAATATTAAGAATCCTTGCATTTGATATAGCACCTTATCGCGTCTTCGAGATGTCTCAAAGCACTTCGCGGAATATATTGTAAAGTGGAGTGATGAAACTTATTTCAGAGCATCGACCAGATTGTTGAATTCAGTCTTAACTTGGAAGCTGTGTTTTTCTATTCATTCATTTATTTAAAAATAACATAACAGAAGACCAGACCAAACAGAAAGTCTAAATATTCCCATTAAATGTGTGTCCATTTGAGCTTTGGCTGCTACTAACATTCGTTCATTCCAACAACTTCTGAGAGTCCTTCTGCTAAACTTCAAAAGACTTTTGTAAAAAAAACTGGCGTTTATAAAGAAAACAACTGTCTGTGTCTGTGAAGATGCCACTTAAAGTTTTTTGTACATCTGCCTTCACATGAGTCCACCCTTTAATAAATCACCAGACATACTTTGTTAGAACCAGTTTCTGTACTCTTACTTCGCGAGGATTTTCCCGAAGGTCAAACGTGCTTAACCTGTTTACCTGGCAGTAAGTAGGAACCCGGTTGTTTGTTGATTGGCGGATGGTTTTTCCGGGGACAATAATCCCTCCCCCCAAAAATAATAATAATAATTTGGTCACTCAATCCATGGCTATTTGTGGGGACGCTGCTGTGTGCAATTGGCTGCCGCGTTTCGCCCACAAAATACACAGTCGATTCACTTCACTGTATGTTCTTTGAGATGCCTTGAAGACGTGATAAGGCGCTATATCAAATGCAAGGATTGTCATTAACTTGTTTTCAATGATAATGCACCTTTTCTTTCAAAAGTTCGGAAAACAGACAAGATGTCAGCCCGATCTTGTCCTTGGCTTTTATTTCTGGATTCGGAATTTGAGTGAAATATTTAAACAATGGCTTACATTTGTATAGCGCCTTTAACATCGCAGGAGGATTTGTCAAAATGCTTCACACAGCTGACACATAGCCCATTACTGAATTACTATGTACTTGTGGTGACATTTATTGTTTCACCCACACATTCAATCCACTTTACAGTATCCTGTGAAGTGCTTTGAGGTGTCTCAATGAGGCGCTATATCAAATGCAAGGATTATTATATTATTAGTAGGATAATTGCTGGTTGCTGAATATATCTACAAAATGACACAGTCACTTTAAAATCCTGGTAAATCCTGTGAAGTGCTTTGAGACAATCTGTCGTTTTACGTGTTACATCAAATTGTAAGCATTAATATTATTAAAAACAGTAACAATAATGTCAAGGCAACAACTGTTTTCTGAATATATTCACAAAGAAATTTTTCTTCCAAATCAGCATAAACAGTGACCTGGTAAATTCACACTGACCGGACTCAGTTTGTAGTTTGGACTGTTTCAATTTGATTACGTTGCATTTGGAATGTTTTCCGGGGTTAAGGGATTTCAGAGAAGCAGATTGTAGTCAATCCAATGAAGTGATGGGGAGGAGGATTGCATTGCTGGAGTTCTAGGATGTCTGACCTGTCTGCCTGTTCAGGTGGTTGTTAAAGATCTCGCGGCGCTAAATCCTTGCACTTGTTCCAGCGCCTTATCACGTCTTCGAGACGTCTCAAAGCGCTTCACAGGATATACTGTAAAGTGAATTGACTGTGTGTTTTGTGCGCGAAACCAGATGTAAAAGAGATGGACCTTCCCCATAGTCCCGGCGAACAAGTCAGGTTTATTCACCTTTTGAAGTGAATGATTGCATCCCTGTATCACCTTGAGACTAATTTTTCTCTAGCTCCCTCCTGATGACCATTTCACAAGATATGGAGTCCCTGTAGCTCAATGGTTAGAGCGCTCGCCTCGCAATCGAGAGGACCCGGGTTCGATTCCCGGGCGAGGTAAAATGTTGGGCAAGTTTCCTTACCTAGCCGTAAGTAAGAACACCACCAACAACTAATTATATTTGTATAGCGCCTTTCACATGGGGAGGACATCTCAAGGCGCTGGACAATCAGAGGCTAGGAATTAACCTGGAGGTATATCAAATGCAAAGATTATTATTATTATTATTGTTACCCCCCCCACCACCCATTCAGAAAGTCATCCAGATTCCACTCTGGCTCAGGATTAATTTCAGTCGCCGGTTTCCTAAACCAGATAAGAGACATTTATTGACTGAAAACACTGTGTGCCTGGGGCTCACTCCATTTCCTGATCCACTGCTTTCATGGCGTAAATTGCTGGGTTAACGCCAATAAGTTGTAGCTTGGAATAAACACTCCACAAACCATTTCATCAATCAATTTGAGATTCGGTGCGATACCCAAAACATCGACTGCTATGCTTAAGGGTGACAGGGTTAAAGCATTCGGGCAGAGGTCACCCGGGTGATCTTGAGTGTATTCGTAATGCCATCAATTAAACGTGACCCGTCACTGCAGATGTGAAGCACCTATAAGAATCCAATGAGTTTAAGAGTTTAAGACTTTAAGCTCAAAGTCCAGGCTGACACTCCAGTCACTACACTTTGCAGTAAATAGGGATCCAGTTGTTATTTGATTTGCAGATCGCTCTCTGGGGGTAATAAACCCTTCAAAAAAAATTATAATGACAAATAATAATTCAGTCACTCAATCCACGACTGTTTGTGGAACATTGCTGTGCGCAATTGGCTGCCGGGTTTCGCCCACAAAATCCTGTAGCTCAGTGGTTAGAGCGCAAGCGAGAGGACCCGGGTTCAATCCACTTTACAGTATATTCTTAAAGCTCTTTGAGACGTCTTAACAAAGTGATAAGGCGCTATGCTATATCAAATGGAAGGATTATTCCTATTATTACTTTGGAGTAATTCCTGTGAATTGCTTTAAGCTATCCTCCTGACATGAAAGACTCTGTATCCAATGCATTATTTATGTAGTTTTTAGAACAATTGGAATTTGGCAAATTCTTAAATGCAGCCTTCCTTTTAAAGCATCTTTTAAAGACCTGCAGGAAATTAGCTTTGACGTTGAGACTGAATTCACCAGCTCAGGAACTGGACTCCTGAGACTGCCACGGAGGATTAACTCAATTACGTTGCTAAGCATTTGCCAAATTCTGTGCTCTCCGCAATGCTAAGAAAAACAGAGTAAAACTAGACCCAGGTGGCATCTCTGCCCCATAGTACGTTCAATTTCCAGGTTCTCTCACTCGTCTACAGATCCCTTCATGCCCTGGCACCTCCGTATCCTTCTGATATGCTTTCTCCCCACTCCACTACCCATCGCCTCCGCTCAGCTGGCTCCGGCCTCCTGCTTGTCCCTCACCATCCACGTGCTTTCAGCCACTACGCCCCAAAGTTTTTGGAACTCTCTCCCTCATTCCCTCCGCCTTGCCCCCCCCCCTTCCCCTCTTTTAGATCAGGACTGAAGACCTTCCTCTTCGACCGTGCTTACGGTCACCTCCTTCCTCCCTCTCCCCGGCTCGGCATCAGGCTCCAACACTGTTAAGCGCTCTGAGTCCCTGCCCTGTGTGACGGGCACTGTACAAACACAAATTGTTATTATTTAATCAGAACAAAGAAAACTAGTGTGTGCTGGCGCCAGTTTGGCTAAATCCAACCCAATTCCAATCTAACCTAATCCCAATCTCTCTCTCGTTCCCGATATATCTTATTATTTGAGGCATGCTGCCTTTTTTTTTTAAAAAAATAAAAAAACGCTAATCATATTTGCTACCAATTGGAGCATTTTACAGTAAATTCCTTTATTAAAAAAAATCGTATTTTTCAGAACGTTAATCTTCCACTGCGTTTTAGCCAACATTAGTTCATCACCATGTGTCGAGATTTCTGGCATCGCTGTGATCTCGCATGTGGCTGAAATCTGTTTTTCCCCTTCACAGAGTTTGAAATATCAAATGCAAATGCGTTTCCCGAGAGAACATACCAAACAGAGATGCCAGAATAATCTGTTCGCTTTCTATTCCAGGGATATAATCCTAATAAAAATAATCTTTACATTCGGGACAGCATCTTTCATGTCGGGAGGAAGTTTCAAAACGCTTCGCAGGATTTTACTGTGTGGGAAAACACAGCAGCCTATTTGCGCAGAGCAAAGTGCCATGTAGAAGCATAAAGTGAGTGATCGATTTTATTTGGGGGATTGTTGGCCAGGACACCGGGAGACAGAAACTCCCTTCTCTTTATCGAATAGCGCCATAGAATCTTTAGCGTTCCACCTGAACAGTCAGACGGGACGTCAGCTTAACAGCTCATCCAAAGGATCACCTCCGAAAATGCAACACACTCCCCAGCCCTGCATTCGAGTGTCGGCCCAGACTACATGAGTTCCGTGTGGGATTGAACCCATAACTGAATCAAAGGCGAGAGCGTTAACACCTAAACCAGGCTAGATTAATAATAATAATGATGATAATCCTTGCGCTAGATACAGAGCCTTATCACACCAAACCCTCTCACACCACTTCACCAAGCTTTCAGTAAAGTGGAGTGCCTGTGGATTTGTTCGCAAAAATTGCAGCCAGTTTGCCTACAAAATACACAGTCACTACACTTTATACTTAACGCTGTGAAGCGCTTTGTGACGTCCTCTCGATTTGAAAGGGGCTATCAGATGCAAGAATTACTTCCTACTTTTTAAAATAATTTATCCATAGCAGCATCCCATAAACTATCAGGAAATCAATAACCATTTTTTTCTTAATCTGGGGAATTATTGACCGGGATAATAGCATCGCAGGGTATTTAATGACTACCTGGCAGGTGGGACTTGACTGAGAGGCGAGAGCCAGGCTGACAACTCCCCTCGTTTCGCCCACAAAACTCCAGTCACTACACTTTACGGTACATCTCGTGAAGCGCTTTGAGCCATCTCGACAGTGTGATAAAGTGCTGCGTCGACTGCAAAGCATTGTTATTGTGAACCCAGTCACACTGAAATGCCGTGTTTCGTTTTCTCTCTCGTCTCCCCGACATCTTGGCAGGATGGATGACAATTATAACATTCTCCCACACGGGGTGAATTTTCAGGACGCCATATTCCCGGACACGACGGAGAACAGAAAGATGTTTTCGAGTCTCTTCCAGTTCGCTAATTGCACACATGGGCAACAGCTCCAAACATTCACCGTGGACTGGGAGATTCAGGAAGACCACAGGGTAAGTGCCCTGTTCATCTGCTGTTCATCCCCACAGAGAATATTGCCTCTTGACGCAGGGACATATGGCCCTGAATCATTCCCAGAGCTGTGTTTATACTGCGTTTGCTTTTCCGCATTGAATATTCATATCTACGAAACAGAACGACACAAATTTATTTACATTTGTGTTTACAAGCGCCTGCTTGTACGTCGGGAGGGTTTATGCGCTCAGGGACTCTACCCCGTGTGAAGGGCGCTATATAAATGCAACTTGTTGTTGTGGTTGTCACAAGATTTGCGGCTGAGCTGGGAATGGGGGCCGAGGGTAAGCGGGTTGGGGGCAAAGCAAGTGGGGGTGAGCGGGCGAAGGAGTGGGGGTGAGAGAGTGGGGGTGGGGGGGAAGATGACCAAAGGCGCGGTTCAAAGAGGAAAGTCTTGAGACGGACCTGATGAAGGCGAGTGAAGGGCTGAGTTGAAGGGATTCCAGGATGGAGTTCCAGAGAGTGGAGGGCAGAATGGCTGAAAACCCGACCACCGATGGTGGGGTGGGATCTGTGAAGCAGGCCCGGGACCTCTGATCAGAGGGAACAGCTGAGTTGGTAGGGTAAGGTCGCGGAGACACATTTGGGGCAGGGCTGGGTGGGGTCTAAAATGCGGTTGAGGCTATTCGCCCACCACAGGCTAACAATGTTCAAATGCACTCTTAATTATGTGATTAACATAACAAGCCACTTTGCAGGATGTTTTGTCGTTCTTAATTACATAATTGAGAGCAGGCCCGTGTGTTTGGATAGGGTTAGCCCTTGGGCTATTAGCCCCAACCATGCATTTTAGACCCCAATGTCAACAACAACAACCTGCATTTATAGAGCATCCTGCGGAAATAATAATCCTTGCATTTGATGTAGCGCTTTATCACACAGTTAAGACATCTCAAAGCGTTTCGCACAATATACTGTAAAGTAAATTGACTGTATTTTGTGAGCGCAACACCTCTGAACGTGTCACAAAAANCTATGCGCAAGGAACGTAGGAACAAGAGGAGGCCACTCAGCCCCTCAAGCCTGTTCTGCCGTTCTATTAGATCATGGCTGAGCTGTACCTCAACTCCAATCACCCACTTGTTGTGAGCTCCCCCTTGCTCAGTGTCCAACTTGTGAAATACATAAACACAAGTTGTTGTTGACGTTGTGGTGTAGTGACTGTGTGTTTTATACGCGAACGTATTTTGGAGGATCACAGCAACAGGGCTTTTTGAATCGCGCTGAACCCACGGCAGGTCGTTTAAGGTTCTTCCACGCTTAACCTGCATCGCTGGGAATCGGAAAGGCAAATAAAGCACACCACGGGCACGGCAGCCCGTAAATCCTGCACAGCACTTTGCGCACACTGTGCAATTGAGGTAAAACATGTAACCTGGGAAACTGTGGACAGTGTCCTGGGGAAAAGCCCAGATGTGTTCTCGTTTACTGTAAACCTGTCAGCCTTGGCTTAGTTGGTAGCAATCTCGTCTCGGAGTTAGAGGCTGTGGGAGCAAATTACACACTGAGGCTTCGAGTTACACTGCGATTCTATCTGTGGCTGTTCAGGTGGACGTTAATATTCCAATGACACTGCTTGAAAATAGAAGGGAGTTTCTCTCTCTCTCTCTCTCTCTCTCGCTCGCTCGCTCTCTCCCCCCCCCCCGGTGTCCTGGCCGACAAATCCCCAGACAAAATCGATCGTTCACATCGTGGCTCTTTTGTGGGGTCGTTGCTGTGCGCAGATTGGCTGCCCCGCTCGCCTTACAAAATACACAATCACTGCATCTTGGGAGAGTGGAGTCCTGTAGCTCAGTGGTTATCCCGCTCGCCTCGCAAGCGGAGGACCCGGGTTCGATTCCCGGGAGAGCCTTCAGCCGCTCTGCCCCAGCTCGGGTCTGAAATGCAATGTCCAGCGCCTTGGGACGTCCTCCCGACGTGAAAGGCACTATACAAATGTAATCTTGTTGTTGTTGTTGTTGTTGTTGAAACAGCCTCGTCTACCCGACCCTTCGCCTTGTTAAATAAACAAGAGCTACTAGCGATGCAGAAACTTCAGCGTATGGAGCCTGTTGTCTGTTTAGTAGATCGAGGCAGATCTTTCAATCTCATTTCTCGGCGTTTCCCACATTATAATCTGTCTGCTTGTCTGCCAATGTTCTTGTTTGTAAACAGGAAAAATACAAATACAACGGTCCTTTAAACCATGTTTATACCAACTTCCACCTCCCGTCCCATCACCTAACCCGTCCAGACAGAACCAAGGGAACAAAACAGAACAAGCGTTTCTAAGGAGATTAACAGATACGGACTAATCGTTCTACTGAGATGGGGTTTAAAGGACTGCCATTTGCATTATGTAGTGGCCCTTATGTTGGTTAGCGTCTCAACAGTGGCGGAGCCTGACACCAGAGACATGTAGAAAGCCGGTAAGGCTGATGAGGGAGATGTGTGAATACCGACCTCATAAGTAAGACCTAAGTCAGGACTTTCTCTCTCCCGGTGTCCTGGCCAACAATCCCCCAAATACCAATCTATCATTCACTTCATGGCTGTTTGTGGGACACTGCTGTGTGCAAATTGTGGCCGCTGTATTCTCAGGCAGTCCACAGAAAATTCCTGGTGAAGAGCTTTGAGATGTCCTCCCGACATGAAAGGTGTTATACCAGAACGGAAGGATTGTTATTAGGATTATTATTATAAGAGATAATAACTGTATCCTTGTAAGTATTCCTCACACCCAACTAAAGGTGACGACAGCAATTCAATCCCTTTGAATTCCAAAATTTTCAAGCATCTCCACAGAACTATTTTTATATTTGACCAGCCGGGTGTCTGATGTCTGACACATGCAGAAACCCATCACCATCTTTACGAATATCCAAAGCAGACAGAGATTTCCATGTATGTGTGTGTATGTGTGTGTGTGTGTGTGGTGTATGTGTGTATTTTTGTGTGACACCTACAAATGGAAACCTCCTTGTGTCTGGAATGAAATGCTTGTGGTCTCTCTCTCTCTCTCTCCCGGGAGGAACGCAGCCTCCTTACCTCATTTCAGAAAGTAGCAGATGCAGGTTGACGAATGCCAAGACTTGGGGATCCCAGATTGTGTATCCGAGGAGGACACGTAACGCAGTGGTTAGAGCACTCGCCTCGCAAGGGAGAGGCCCCGGGTTTGATTCCTACAGTAAGTAGGAACCCGGTTGATAGTCGATTGGCGGAATGCTTTGCGAGGGTAATAATCCCTCCAAAAAAAAAAGTGGGCCCTCACTCGATGACCGTTTGTGAGACGCTGCTGTGCACAATTGGCTGCCGCATTCGCTCACAAAATATAGTCAATTCACTTTATGTGGTGAAGCGCTTTCTGTGATAAGGAGCTACGTCTCGTGCAAGAATTGGTATGATTATTAGTGTGGCTGCTGGAGCCTGTCCAGCTAAAACCCCACAGCTTGCCATTGAGAGCACTGACTGGCAAGTTTTCCTTCTGCTTCTCATGCTAGGACCAACCTAAGCGTTAGGGCTTTGGCTTGCAGAATTAACAGGTGTTGAGTGGCGCTGCTGAGACCTGCTGATGAGCCAGGCTGCTATCAGCACTGGTCTGGAGACCTGCGGACCTGTTTGGATCAGGAACTGGAGTACCGACCAGATGAGACATTAAACTGAGGTCCCATCTGTACCTGTTCAGGTGGATGTCAAAGATCCCGCAGTTGAAGGGAGTTTCCTCCTCTCGAGATTGTCGGACATTATAACTTGGCCAACAGATGCCCCCAAATAAATAAAAAAATAATATTTCAATCTTATAGAATTGGTCACTCACTTCATGGCTGTTTGTGGGATGTTGCTGTGCGCTACAAAGCGCTTCACAGAACATACTGTACAGTGTAGTGACTGTGTATTTTGTGGGCGAAACACGGCAGCCAATTGCTCACAGCAGCGTCCCCACAAACAGTCGTGGATTGAGTGACCAACTTTTTTTTTGAGGGGTTATTACCCCAGGAAAGCGATTCACTAACCAACTTCCTACTTACTGCTGGGTAAACAGAGGTGTGTGAGTGGTGTAAAGAAACTTGCCTAAGGTCTTGCCCTGCCCGGGAATCAAACCCGGGTCCTCTCACTTGCGAGGCGAGTGCTCTGACCACTACACTACGGGACTCGAGTGCATTGACAGTTGTCGCGTTCAGAGCCAATCTGCAGAGAGTAGCAGAAAAATAGCCTAAAAACAGCCTGGTATTCTACCAGAAGCAGAATATTCTAAAACCCAAATGAAAACCCACACAGCAGTAAAATGAAAGGTCTATTTATTATAACTATCTTTAATTTAACCTTGGGATTCGAGCCATAATGCAATTAACCTCATAGAATTCTTTCCACCTCCCCCACTCTCCCTCCCGGTCTGTTTGTCTGTCTGTTTCTCTCCCTCTCTCCAGCTCTATCTTGTCTCTACAACCATTTGAGAGGCTTTTGAAACCCAAGCTTGGCATTATTCCATTATTCTCTCATATATCTTCCCCCCCACCTCTCTCCCTCTCTCTCTCTCTCTGACTGTTTTTGTAATCCTTGGATTTGATACAGCATTGAATCGTTTCACGTGACTTTACTGTGAAGTGAAGTGACTGTGTTTTGTAGGTGAATGGGCCAGCCAATTTTGTTCGCGCAGAAAAGTACCACAAACAGCCATGAAGTGAATGACCAATACTTGTTTTTATTTGGGGGATTCTTGGCCAGGACACCGGGAGAGCGAGAGAAACTCCCTTTTACGTCCACCTGAACAGGCAGACGGGGGAACCTCAGTTTGACGTTGTATCCGAATGTACAAAGGACGCAACAATGATAACAACAAATTACATTTGTGCAGCGCCTTTCACGTCGGAAGGACATCCCAAGGCACTTGTTGATGTTCAACTGCGGAAAGTTAGCTCTCATCCAGGCCTTGATGTCTGATAGATCGTCCGTCAGGACCTCAGTGGTCCTGGAGTCGAGGGTAGAGTTGGGTGTCATC